TAAGGAAACTGGAAAAGGTTCAGAAGTTTGCAACGAGACTCGTCCCAGAGTTTCGAGGAATGGAGTATAAAGAGGGCCCTGAAGGAACTGAGCCTTACGACACTAGAGAAGAGAAGGGAGAGGGGGAATATGATAGGAACGTACAAAATACTCAGGGGGATTGATAGTGGAAATAGACAAAATGTTCACACGGAATAGTAACAGAACGAGGGGACATGGGTGGAAGCTGGAAACTCAGATGAGTCACAGAGATGTTAGGAAGTTTTCTTTTAGCGTGAGAGTAGTGGGAAAATGGAATGCACTTAAGGAACAGGTTGTGGAAGCAAACTTTATTCACCATTTTAAAACCGATATGATAAGGAAGTCATGAATCATCATTTTAAACAACCGAAGGCTAGAAATGCGGGATCCAAGAGTCAATGCTCGATCCTGCAGGCACAAATTGGTGAATACAAATAGGTGAGTACACACACATTATTCCCGACCGAGACGGAAACAGATGGGCAGAGTTTCTTTCATCTTGATGTCCCTGTTCACCTAGCAGTAAATGGGTACCTGGAAGTTAGACAGCTGTTACAGAGCTGCTTCCTGGGAATATATATGTATGTGTGTGTGTGTGTGTGTGTGTGTGTGTGTGTGTGTGTGTGTGTGTGTGTGTGTGTGTGTGTGTGTGTGTGTGTGTGTGTGTGTGTGTGTGTGTGTGTGTGTGTGTGTATGTGTGTGTGTGTGTGTATGTGTGTGTGTGTGTGTGTGTGTGTGTGTGTGTGTGTGTGTGTGTTGTGTTGTGTGTGTGTGTGTGTGTGTGTGTGTGTGTGTGTGTGTGTGTGTGTGTGTGTGTTTGTGTGTGTGTGTGTGTGTGTGTGTGTGTGTGTGTGTGTGTGTGTGTGTGTGTGTGTGTGTGTGTGTGTGTGTGTGTGTGTGTGTGTGTGTGTGTGTGTGTGTGTGTGTGTGTGTGTGTGTGTGTGTGTGTGTGTGTGTGTGTGTGTGTTTGTGTGTGTGTGTGTGTGTGTGTGTGTGTTGTGTGTGTGTGTGTGTGTGTGTGTGTGTGTGTGTGTGTGTGTGTGTGTGTGTGTGTGTGTGTGTGTGTGTGTGTGTGTACGCGCGTTAGAGACAAATATATATATAGTAGCCATAAGAGGAAAATTAAATTGGTTAGAAAGGCGGGGTACAAGAGCTAACAGCATGATTCTGCAGGCACAAATAGTAAAAACACACACACGCACGCACATACAGCTCCCCCCACCCCCTCCCCCCCCTACACACATATACTTGTCAATGGTGCAGGCGAGGGGGAGGGGGGAGGCGGGGTGCCGGATACATAAGCGGCTTGTATCCGGGGGACAAAAACCACCTCGCGCCTTGATTGCCCAGGTGGGCGAGGCTGGCTGTTAAAGGGGTCTTAGAAGCGACGCTTACGCTCTAACGAACATAATTCAGCTTCATTTGCATATCGCGACGGTAAGAACTGCAGGCAGGGCGTGCAATGGGGGAATGGGGGGGAGCTGGGTTAATAAAAGACGTAAGTCGGATTCCCCGGGACGCCACATGCGCCTTCCACGCTCACGAACGTTCACCATTTTCTATATGGCATTTGTGTGTTCATTCAGTAGGGTCTGGGAGCGCTTTTTGCTTCTTCCTCATTAGGCTTTGCGTGGGTCCTTCCAGGGGGGTAGGCGTAGGGGGAGAGGAAGGTGTTGATATGTGTTGGTATAACTAGGTGATGATAATTTATTTTTCATCCCATACCCACCCCGTGGGCGGTAGTGGACCCCCATACCCACCCCGTGGGCGGTAGTGGACCCCCATACCCATCCCGTGGGCGGTAGTGGACCCCCATACCCACCCCGTGGGCGGTAGTGGACCCCCACACCCATCCCGTGGGCGGTAGTGGACCCCCATACCCACCCCGTGGGCGGTAGTGGACCCCCATACCCATTCCGTGGGGCGGTAGTGGACCCCCATACCCACCCCGTGGGCGGTAGTGGACCCCCATACCCATCCCGTGGGCGGTAGTGGACCCCCATACCCATCCCGTGGGCGGTAGTGGACCCCCATACCCATCCCGTGGGCGGTAGTGGACCCCTATACCCATCCCGTGGGCGGTAGTGGACCCCATACCCACCCCGTGGGCGGTAGTGGACCCCTATACCCATCCCGTGGGCGGTAGTGGACCCCATACCCACCCCGTGGGCGGTAGTGGACCCCATACCCACCCCGTGGGCGGTAGTGGACCCCCATACCCATCCCGTGGGCGGTAGTGGACCCCATACCCATCCCGTGGGCGGTAGTGGACCCCATACCCACCCCGTGGGCGGTAGTGGACCCCCATACCCATCCCGTGGGGCGGTAGTGGACCCCATACCCATCCCGTGGGGCGGTAGTGGACCCCATACCCATCCCGTGGGCGGTAGTGGACCCCTATACCCATCCCGTGGGCGGTAGTGGACCCCATACCCATCCCGTGGGCGGTAGTGGACCCCATACCCACCCCGTGGGCGGTAGTGGACCCCCATACCCATCCCGTGGGGCGGTAGTGGACCCCATACCCATCCCGTGGGCGGTAGTGGACCCCTATACCCATCCCGTGGGCGGTAGTGGACCTCCATACCCATCCCGTGGGCGGTAGTGGACCTCCATACCCATCACGTGGGGCGGTAGTGGACCCCATACCCATCCCGTGGGCGGTAGTGGACCTCCATACCCATCCCGTGGGCGGTAGTGGACCTCCATACCCATCACGTGGGGCGGTAGTGGACCCCATACCCATCCCGTGGGCGGTAGTGGACCTCCATACCCATCCCGTGGGCGGTAGTGGACCTCCATACCCATCACGTGGGGCGGTAGTGGACCCCATACCCATCCCGTGGGCGGTAGTGGACCTCCATACCCATCCCGTGGGCGGTAGTGGACCCCATACCCATCCCGTGGGGCGGTAGTGGACCTCCATACCCATCCCGTGGGCGGTAGTGGACCCCCATACCCATCCCGTGGGGCGGTAGTGGACCACCATACCCATCCCGTGGGGCGGTAGTGGACCCCATACCCATCCCGTGGGCGGTAGTGGACCCCATACCCATCCCGTGGGGCGGTAGTGGACCTCCATACCCATCCCGTGGGCGGTAGTGGACCACCATACCCATCCCGTGGGGCGGTAGTGGACCCCATACCCATCCCGTGGGCGGTAGTGGACCTCCATACCCATCCCGTGGGCGGTAGTGGACCTCCATACCCATCCCGTGGGGCGGTAGTGGACCTCCATACCCTAGCACACATTTGTATGTGTATATTAGGACAAGAAATAAGGGAATAAAAATATTATGGAGAGATGTAGTGCAAGTTCAAAAAGCAAATAGTGCAAAAACCCTTCTAGATCTACATTACTCTGGGAGGACGTCAGATTCACGAAGCAGTTACACAAGCACTTACGAACCTGTACATCTTTTCACAATCTTTGGCGGCTTTGTTTACAATTATTAAACAGTTAATGAGCTCCGAAGCACCAGGAGGCTGTTTATAACAATAACAACAGTTGATTGGGGAAGTTTTCATGCTTGTAAACTGTTTAATAAATGTAACCAAAGCCGCCAAAGATTGAGGAAAGGTGTACACGTTCGTAAGTGCTTGCGTAACTGCTTCGTGAATCTGACCCCAGGAATGGTTGAGGGCCTCGCGGCTAACAACAAAGCAGGCATGACAGGGCGGATCTTACCCGAACCTTTAATATACTGAACAATTTGGAGGCTGTTGATCCTGGCAATTTCTTCAAAAGGTCAGATGTGACACTGACAAGGAGCAGCCGTTTCAAGCTCAACAAGCCGCAATGTTAGACTGAAAACAGGACATTCTTTTTCACCCACTGGGTTATAAACCCATGGACCCCCCCCCCCCCCTACCCGACGGTTTAAACGGCAAAATTCTTGAAAATTTTTAAAATCCAACTGGAAAAATCATCATCAACGGTCAATGGGAGGACCTTTGACAAGCCGGTGGCTTGTGGAAGGTCCTCGTCGAGGCCACTAAAGTGTTAGTGGCCCTCAGGTAAATTCGGGTCAATTCAGGTCAAGTTAATCTCAAGATTGGGGATAGCGTATTGAGATTGGCATCACCACAGGAGTAAATGTGTACGACGATTCACGCGGACCGTACGAAGTTGTGGGTGCTGCTGGAGTGTGGTGATGCACGAGAATTACTCATGCTATATATTATGAATGGTCTATATATTTTGGTTTTATTATTTAATATGTATAACCACCTTATGCTATATTATTCACGTGTATTCCACTGATGATCCCTGCCCAGTCCATCAGAGAATAATTATAATTAACAAAGTACACATTAAATAATTCACACAGTTTATGTGAAGTGTTATTTCCTTTGCCCGATACAGTTGTCGGGTCTCGCTAACGGGGAATACACAACATATTCAAAGAAAACCTTGGAGATTCTCCTTTCAAACACTTGAGTGTTATCTTCTATCACCTCTAACTTTGTTATTTATTTATTTATTTATTTATTTATATATATACACAAGAAGGTACATTGGGATTGTGAGGATACATAGCATAGTAATAACATTCTTGTAAAGCCACTAGTACGCGCAGCGTTTCGGACAGGTCCTTAATCTAAGAAACTTATAAGTAGGTAAATACTTACAAAATGTATAAAAATAATGTTATTTGATATGTCATGATTTATTACATTATCTTACAGGATAGAGAATCCACACACACATGCGGCATTCACTAGTGCAAAACCTCATATATGGAACATCTGCAGCACATATATATAACAGGGGATAGAGAACATTCATGTGTGGAAAGGTCACGACCTCTCTGTAGGGTGCAGTCGCACCTCCACAGGTCTCCAGTAGCAGCTATTGATACTGGTAATGTCTCTAATGGGCCGCCACTTACGGGCTATTCATGCCCGTGCCACCTTTTGGGTGGCTTAATCTTCATCAATCATTGATGTGTAGTGACGTTGTTGTGCTTGTGTTACAGGGAGGCGCGGGCCGTGGTGGAGATCGACGACCCGGACTATGTCTTGGAGCTGCTCACCAGACTGGGTCACTCCATCATAAGGGCCAATGAGCTAGAAAAGTGAGTTAATCCCACCATTTCGCTGCCCGCCGACCCATCCACCCTTCCCGCTACAGCGCCGCCTGCAGCACCACCAGTGGCTTAATCCTTCCTCTCTCTCCCCCCACAACTGCACCTTTCCTTAGTGATCTTTGACCCCTTTGTGACCAGAGGGACAAACTTGATCTTCAGCGACCATTTGCCAACGTGTCCAGGAGCCATATTCACGAAGCAATTACGCAAGCACTTACGAACGTGTACATCTTTCCTCAATCTTTGACGGCTTTGGTTACATTTATTAAACAGTTTACAAGCATGAAAACTTGCCAATCAACTGTTGTTATTGTTATAAACAGCCTCCTGGTGCTTTGGAGCTCATTAACTGTTTAATAATTGTAAACAATGCCGCCAAAGGTTGAGAAAAGATGGACAGGTGCTTAAGTGCTTGCGTAACTGCTTCGTGAATCTGGCTTCAGCCGCTCATAATGATGTATCTCGCTTTGGTATTGTTCTGTATGATGACTTTACTATGAATGTTATACATGTTTGAGTGGTAGTGACTTTGATTAAATGCTGAGAACCGCTAAATGCTGGCCGCTAAATTCTGGGAACCGCTAAATGCTGGGAACCGCTAAATGCTGGGAACCGCTAAATGCTGAGAACCGCTAAATGCTGAGAACCGCTAAATGCTGAGAACCGCTAAATGCTGAGAACCGCTAAACGCCGGAAATCAAAGGAAGCATTCCCTCTCGGTGAATCTAGAAAAGCCTTACTTTCTCCTCTTCCTGTAGTTCAGTGTTTCATAAAAGATCGGAAAGAACCCAATAAGGCTTTGTCGTCTCGTGTTTCAAGAGATTAGCCAAAGGTGCAGCAACAGAGGATTACAGTTCAGGACTAAGGTGCAGGAGAGTGGACATAGCCCACAGGTAGTCTGGGGGTTGGATCACAGGGTCTAGGGGTAGTCTGGGGGTTGGATCACAGGGTCTAGGGGTAGTCTGGGGGTTGGATCACAGGGTCTAGGGGTAGTCTGGGGGTTGGATCACAGGGTCTGGGGTAGTCTGGGAGTTGGATCACAGGGTCTAGGGGTAGTCTGGGAGTTGGATCACAGGGTCTGGGGTAGTCTGGGGGTGGATCACAGGGTCTGGGGTTTGGATCACAGGGTCTAGGGGAAGTCTGTGGGTTGGATCACAGGGTCTAGGGGTAGTCTGGAGGTTGGATCACAGGGTCTGGGGTAGTCTGGGAGTTGGATCACAGGGTCTGGGGTAGTCTGGGGGTTGGATCACAGGGTCTGGGGTAGTCTGGGAGTTGGATCACAGGGTCTGGGGTAGTCTAGGGTTTGGATCACAGGGTCTGGGGTAGTCTGGGGGTGGATCACAGGGTCTGGGGTTTGGATCACAGGGTCTGGGGTAGTCTAGGGTCTGGATCACAGGGTCTGGGGTAGTCTGGGGTGGATCACAGGGTCTGGGGTAGTCTGGGGTTGGATCACAGGGCCTGGGGTAGTCTGGGGGTTGGATCACAGGGTCTGGGGTAGTCTAGGGTTTGGATCACAGGGTCTGGGGAAGTCTGGGAGTTGGATCACAGGGTCTGGGTAGTCTGGGGGTTGGATCACAGGATCTGGGGTAGTCTGGGGTTTGGATCACAGGGACTGGGGTAGTCTGGGGTTTGGATCACAGGGTCTGGGGTAGTCTAGGGATTGGATCACAGGGACTGGGGTAGTCTGGGGTCTGGATCACAGGGTCTGGGGGTAGTTTGGGGGTGGATCACAGGGTCTGGGGTAGTCTGGGGTTTGGGTTCCAAGGCCTGGGGTAGTCTGGGCTAGAAGGGGCCGGGGTGTGGGGGGTAGAAGCATTAATTGAATTCTGCATATGATAGCAGATGTGTCGATAGCAAGATATGAGTTGGGAATGTGGTGGAGGGATGAGTGGGTATCTATCTGTACTTGCCTAACAGCCACAACAGGGAAATTGGGCTCCAGCTCTCTGTACCCAACCTATTATAACCTTGTATCTATTGTACAATTTAACTATCCCAATGTTCAAAATAAATGGAGGTGGCTTCCATAATTCTTTCAGTGCATTCTACCTGTTGACTAGCCACATAAGTTACGAGTATTTTTTTTACATTTATTCGACTCATTCGAGTTTCCCAATTCCAACTATGTTCTCTTGTCCTTCCTCACACTTGAATACAGCTGTCCTTGTCTATTCCCCCTCGGTATCTTGTGATCTTATCACCTCTTGTCTATTTCCCCTCGGTATCTTGTGATCTTATCACCTGTTCTTTTTCTCTTTTGGGTCGAGAGATTTTATTCCTATAATTATTCATCATAGCATAACCCTTTTAATCCTATCTTGAGATCTTGAGGTTATCTTGAGATGATTTTGGGGCTTTAGTGTCCCCGCGGCCCGGCCCTCGACCAGGCCTCCACCCCCAGGAAGCAGCCCGCGACAGCTGACTAACACCCAGGTACCTATTTTACTGCTAGGTAACAGGGGCATAGGGTGAAAGAAACTCTGCCCATTGTTTCTCTCCGGCGCCCGGGATCGAACCCGGGACCACAGGATTACAAGTCCAGCGTGCTGTCCGCTCGGCCGACCGGCTCATCTTGTTACAAACCTCCCCTCGTCCCATCCTTATCCTGATCCCTTCCAAGTGCTATATAGTCATCGAGGCTTGGCACTTTCTCATAATTCCCTTCCCTTCCCTCCCCTCAGGTACGTCATTAACTTGAATTAGGAACAATAGTGGGCCCAAGACGGAACCTTTGAGGACTCCACTTGTCACATTCTTGTTGTCATATTGTTTTTCTCATTCAGGGGCTTCCTTGTCTAGTTCTGTGTTTCCCCAGCTTGCTTCTTCATTATGTACACCAGCCTTTCATGAGGCACAGTATCAAATGATCCGGGACAATCTAGTGTACAGGTTCCTGAGCTTATTGAAATATCATATCTACATATGAAACTGTGTATAGAGTCAGCCTCCACCACATCACTGCCTAATGCGTTCCATCTATTAACTACTCTGACACTGAAAAAGTTTGTTCTAACGTGTTTGTAGCTCATTTGGGTGCTAAGTTTCCACCATGTCCCGTTTTTTTTTCGTGTAACACCTGTGTTAAATGTCTGTCTACCCTGAGAATCTTATAAATGGTAATCATGTCTCCCCTAACTCTTCTGTCTTCTAGTGATGTGAGGTTTAATATCAGTAGTCTTCGTAACTCATTCCCCTCAGCTTGGGTACCAGTCTGGTGACATACCTCTGAACTTTCTCTAACTTCGTCCTGTTCTTGACTAGATATGAACGCCACACTGGAGCTCCATACTCCAAGTTTGGACTGACAAACACGGTATACAAGGTCTTGAATAATTCCTTACACAAGTTTCTGAATGCAGTTCTTATTCCAATACAATAGCCCAACAATATGCCGACTGTGTACGTGCTGCTAATGATATCCTTTTGATGTTGGTTTCGGAGGACAGGTCCAGTGCGATGTCAACCACCAGATCGTTTTCTCCTGATTCTTGAAAGATTTAATCTCCCAAAGGGTATCTTGTATCTGGCCTCCTGCTCACTACTCTATTTTCATTACACCTGCTCGTTATACTCTTAGCAGCTATTTGTTAAACCTTACCTGGTTGATGGGGTTCTGGGAGTTCTTCTACTGCCCAAGCCCGGCCCGAGGCCAGGCTTGACTTGTGAGAGTTTGGTCCACCAGGCTGTTGCTTGGAGCGGCCCGCAGGCCCACATACCCACCCCATTCTTTGAGTTTGTCCAAGTTATCTTATAGTCTTGTGCAGTCCTCCTCTGACTTAATCCTCCTCATAATTTGTGCATTGTGAGGAAACATGGAGAGGAATGTGTTCTGGTGTGTATGTAGTGCAGCCTCATCCGCCACGACTTGCATCATCATCATAGTGTAATGAGTGGTGTGTATGTAGTGCAGCCTCATCCGCCACGACTTGCATCATCATCATAGTGTAATGAGTGGTGTACCTAGTGTCATGCATCAAGGTTCACCTCCTCAACCACAATCATGTATTTGCATAACTAATTCAGTTTAAAAGCTTAAGCAATGGGGAATTCTTTCCTCCATCCTTGTCTCACTCTTCTCTCTCCCTCACCCCATCCTTCCCCTTCCTCCATCACTCCCTCTCTACCTTCCCCCTGGCAATATGGACCTTCAATGTATATATAGAGGGCATACATAGTCGCTAGTATGCCCTCTTCCCTCACTATCAACACATTTTTCTTAACTTTTTTATGTTTTGGTAGATGCTATCAATCTGCTGTATGGTGTCTATTAATCTTGTTTAAATTACCAATCAAGCTGTCAATATAATCAATCAGAGCTTTAATATATCAATGTGCTTTAATATACTTACTAATCTCTCTCATGTCATTTTTTTCTTGCAATGTATCTGTTATCATTTTATTAACTCTGCTAGAATTTACCTACTTAAAATTATCTGTTAGATTAAGGACCTGCCCGAAACGCTGCGCGTACTAGTGGCTTTACAAGATTGTAAATACTATGCTATGTATTCTTACAAACCCAATGTATCTTCTTGTATATAAATAAATAAAATAAATAAATAAATAAATAAATAAATAAATAAATAAATAAATAAATGCCAAGATTATGTTCCATTTCTTATAATAACCGACGCTCTCTTTCACGTGTGCCTCAGATTCGTGCGTTCCTCCGGCAGCGCTAAGCGAGGACTGGATCTTGGCCTGGGTCGGGGCTACAGCGGGTCACAAGCAGCCAAGCACCTCATGGGCCTCGCTGCTGCCAACTTCGCTGGCGGCCCTGGCAGGAGGAGGAGAAGCTCTGATGACGCTCTGGATCACGATGACAACCTCTATGCCCATGATCAAGTTGCTGAACTGGCCGAGTCATCACGATAAATTATAATGGATGATTGTCATGTGGCAACTCATCTTAGTTCTCTCATAATGCCTCTCTCTCTCTCTCTCTCTCTCTCTCCTCTCCACTGTTGTCTGACTGCTCACTAGATCATCTTCCTCTCAAATATTTTTCAGCCTAGTGTATGTTTCTAAATTCTCAAATGGCATGATGGTCTCTTGAAGATGGTGAGCCTAGCCTATTGTGGCTGGCTCATTGACAACCCACAGCTGATCCCAGATCCAGTCCACCAGCACAGTCTTCATCTTGCATTTCTCCGTCTATAACTATAGTAGCATTGCATATATGATACAGTAGAACCTTCATCGATTAGAAATGTAAGTTAAGCTTCACCAAACAACCTCTGCAGAAAGGAGGAACATGTTGTGAGTTGTATTCAAGTAACATAAGACACAATGTTCTCCGGAAGGAAAATGTAAAGCGGTCTCACTAATATTCCAGATTCCTTCCGTTCTTTGACACTGACTTCAGAGACCTAGTCAAACCTATACAGCACAACCTGCTTCCATTATTTTCCTCAGTGGTTGGAGACTACAAATGTTCAATGTTGGATTAATGCCTCAGTGTTCAGCAACTTTGTCAGAGGCTAGACTATACTTAAGACTCGGCTTGTTTAATAGACAGTGCTGTGGGACTGTTTTATGATCAGCCTGTCCCTGGATAATGATATTAGAGAGAACCATTCACTGGTCACACTTACTGATAAGCCAATGGATGAATTCCTTTTAGTACTATTAATCAGAAAAGGAACTTTAGGATTGGTGCATACCTTCTCCTAACCTTCCCATCTCAGGATGACCATAGTCCACCGAGCAAATGGTTAAATTAACTTAGTGAATGAAAGTACAGTATTACACTCGAGGCAATACAATTGTTGTGCTGCATGTTTTAATGAGTTCCGACTCGTGTATTCCTTCTGGCAGAAATGTTATATTGTATTGCAACCCATCTGAGTACGGCCGGTATTCAGAGGAGCATAACCTATTTATTTGTCATAATTAACTCTGCCTTGAGCTTCATTTCCATTACCAGTTTGTAAATTTCCTGTTAATTCATATGGTGGATGATCTCCTTCAGCGGAGTGCTGCCACTTGCGAGAGGAGGCGAGGATGTAACATGTGATGCTAGGCCCTCCCACCTCTCTCTCTCTGTGGGCTGGAACTTGTCTTAATAAGGCAAAAAAAAATATTTGTGCATATATAACAATCTTTGGTTCACTTTAATGTAGATAAAATAAAGCGTGTCAGTCCCTGCACTTATTTCTCTATACAAACACCTCTCGGTACGTTTAAGTGTTAGTACAGTACAGTATGTCCATTTCTCCAGATTTGGGCGGATTTGTATGCAAGAGGTAAGTGTAAGTTCACAATATTGTAAGCAAACTTTAAAAAAAGTTTTGAGGCCACAATGAATACCAAACAAGAAACTCTATTAAACTCTGAATTGATCTAGACTAATATTGAATAATGACAGGAACAAATATATTAATTCCTCAAACAAATTGATAAATCATCTAGATGATGGTTTAATTGATAAATTTGCACATGAATATTTTAAATGTGGCAACACTTAAATGGGGGGGAGGGGACCTTAAGGCAAATGGGGGGACCTGCAAGAAGCCGCCGGCTTACTGTCCTCGTCGGGGCCACTAGTGTTGGTGGCTCTCAGGTAAACCTTTTGAAATATCGTATTAACTGCTTCATGATCCCAGATGCCTGATAAGTAGACAGTAAAAGGTTACTGTAGAGGACAATCATGGACTATAACCTGTCTAAACAAACAAATACAAAATAAATTATAATAAAGGATATTTAGTCTTATGATTTTGCAGCAGGCAAAAAGAGAGAATAAGGCAAAACATACTTTTTCTGGGGTTAGACTCCTACATCATCATAATTTAGATGAATATTCTCTAAGGCACAAACACAATCAGAACTTTGTATACCACATACATGTAAGACCAATCCTGGAGTATGCTGCTCCAGCATAGAGTCCATACCTTGTCAAACACAAGACGAAGCTGGAGAAAGTTCAGAGGTATGCCACTAGACTAATCCCAGAAATAAGAGGCATGAATTACGAGGAAAAGCTGCGTGAATTGTACCTCATGTCTCGGAAGACAGAAGAGCTCTGGGAGACATGATCACCACATACAAAATTCTCAGGGGAATTAACAGGGTTGATAAGGACGGATTATTTAACACAGGTGATACTTGCACAAGGGGACACAGGTGGAAGCTGAGTACCTAAAGAAGCCATTAGAAGACATCAGAAAGAACTTTTTCAGTGTCAGAGTGGTAAATAAATGGAATGCATTGGGAAGTGATGTGGTGGAGGCTGACTCCATACAGTTTCAAATGTAGATATGATACAATAAGCTCAGGAACCTTTACACCAGCAGATTGACAGATGTGAGGCTAGACCAAAGAGCCTAAGCTCAACCCCACCAAAAACAACTAGGCAAGTACATCAAAAAGAAAAAAAAAAGGAACGCTCCACTGAACACCCAGGTACCATTCATCCCTCTCAATCAGTCCTTAGAATGCAGACTCCATGCTTTTCCATTGCTTGGTAAGAAATTATCAAAAGAAAGTGCCAAGCCTGGAAGACTAACACTGTCGCACAACAGTCAAAACTAAAAATGCATCACTTAGGATGCCAATAAGAGAGCATAACGACACAAGATGAGCGATGTTAAAGGTATCAGATTCACCAAGGATTTTATCAAGAGACAAGTGACTCAAAGGTACATTGGGAGTAAAAGGTGAGGCTGTCTGGAACCAGTTCTGACAATAAGGTACAGGTTAATTAAATGGCCATAAGTTAAGTATGTATGGCCCATACTCACCACAGCCAGTTCTTTTCCCCACTTCCAATTACAGTGGCAGGTGGAGAACCAAAGGAATAGGTTATATATAATAGAATGCAGTTTGTAATTCATAACACTCATCCATCTATGACGAAGTAATGACGAGATCATTATTAAAGACAATACAAATACTGTACACACTGCTATGGACTCTGCAAATTTAAGCACTGATACACTACAGGCACGAATGCTGAATTAGGTGTGTTCACATGAAACACATTTTACATACTGCACAATTCTACATAAGCTATGTGTTGGGGAAGAATGAAATGCCCACCAATCAGAGGTGCAAACCTACATGAAACAAAGCGATAACATGTAGGGTCGAGGTCGAAGCAGTAATATCAAGACTACATATTGGATATATCGGTACTGTATTAGTGAAAACATTGACTAAAGTGGAGATATAAAGTAGCAAAATTAATATCAATATTGTCACACAAATATGCTTCAAATCTATTTGGAAGATTGTACATTAATCCTACTATATACTTTGTGTTCGAAATTTACCATTTTACAACTTCCAAGAAACCAATTCCCAATAATGATATAAATTTTTTACCCCAAATCATTTCAGTTACACATTCAGAACACCCCAGTATACAAAGTAACTACAGTATATGTACTGTATGGATGAAGTACATAATTAATACTACAACATACTCTAAAATATTTATTATATACTACAAAATACTCTAATAATATTTATTATATACATGTAAATGTTTCTTCAACGTACAAAATGGAAGGCTCCAATGGACGGATTCAATTTTTCAAGCAGAAGCTTGAGTCAGATTATTACAAAATCCTGATATACTGTAACCACAAACTAATGGATGTCAGTTTAAACAATAATCATCAGAATATCTACATACTCTACGTCTGGAGGAAATGACAAAAAAAACAACAGAAATTTCAAAGAAACAAACCATGTGCAGTGCAGTTTGCAAATAGAATAAAAATTGACTTTAATGAACAAATCATATTTTCTGATCTGGTTGTGGAACTTGTTTGTAATCTTTATTCTTTTCGAGATAAAAAAACCATGGTGGAAATATCTAACTTAGTCATTAAAAATGACCATGTTCATCCAGAGAACTACTGTACACCACTGTGATACGATTACCATTACAGAAACCACAGCATGTCTTCTACAAGACTCGGCCTCTCATATTCCTGAATATTAATCTGCATTAATATTTACAAAACCTAAAACTATGCCATACAAGAAATTTCATATTTAAAGATACTCCACACTAAAAGAAGTGCTTGAAATATAATTGCTAGACCATTAAAAGGAGCAAATATAATCTGGAACCAAAATTGCTACTTTCAATTCTTTCTCCAGGCTTACACATGGGTACAGATAACCACAATAGACTGGACTATGAAACCAAAATTATAACCAGCTGGCCCTCACTATTTGTAAGTCATGCATTCTAGCAGAAAACCTCAACACATGTTAATTTGCACACAAACAATATAAGGTAATATGAGGTAAACAGGGATAAGTTCCAGAGATCTCTCTCCTAATTCTACATTTTCCACCACCAGGAAAGGAAATGGCAGGAAAGTTTGGTAATGTTCAAACATTACCAAACTTTCCTGCCATTTACCACCCCCCATATTGTGCTTTGTAGAAGGGGCTTTGCAAAACATTAATTCCATCTGATGTTTTTCATCAGATGGAATCCATCTGATGAAAATCCATCATCAGATGGTCCATCTTTTCCATCTGAACACTCAACATATATAAATTGGAACTTAGCCCAATGTATCATTTTTGTAAATTGAGATTACTACTGTTTGCATATTCTCTAATGATGTAGCAATAATGATGTCACAAATATATATATCGCATAGAGTTATACGCATACATTAGCATAGACATTACCTTTACATGTTGACAGGAGCACCTGAGAGTGCCGCAGGCCTTGCAGACCATCCGTTTGGTGCCATCATGCAAGAATGACACATGTGAAAGTGTATAAAACCTGCAACAACCATACTCATAGGTAGCAAACCTTACACAGGTGCTTTATATACATTGTATTAAATATTATATGGAGAACAAATTTTGCAAGTACAGTACCAAATTAGCAAATAGTGAGAGCTGACTGTATAACGATCACATTCCCATGTTGCTGGTTTGTTAAGTCGACTATATAACAATTATATTTTTATATTGTTGGCCACAACAAATGTTACAAAACCCTAAGTCTTAATAGTGTAAGTATGCAAGTTCAAGAAATACAAGTTACATATTTCAACAGCAATAAACCCATCATGACTGGAAAAAATAATAGACTAACAATCTTGTTTAACAAAACAACAACAAAAGAGTAGCAGATGCAGTTTAATGCTGACAAATGTAAGGTTTAGAGCCTAAGTAATAATAATAATACTAAATATCAACTAAACAATACTAAAGTTGCCAAATTTGAAAGCACAAAGTATCTGGGAGTCAAGATTAGCGGGAATCTCGAACCAGAAAAAAAATGCATTAATGTTAAAAATAAGGCAAATGGGTTATTAGGATTCATATCAAGAATTGTCAGCAGTAAGACATCTAATCTGACTCTTCAACTTTATTTTGCCCTTGTTAATTAAACCCCACTTAGATAATATAGTGCAGTTGGGTGAGCATGTGAACACGCACATTCCACTGGCTAGTGGAACCTCAAGAAGCTACAGGTTCCCAATATGCTAAACCAATAATCATGTTTAATGTTAATACACCAGTACATATCCTGCCTTAATGCTATTTATATGTGTAATTAGAATTATGTCAAAATCAATACTTATTATAATTATTCATCAATTTGTTGCGTAAATTCTGTTGGGCAATTATGTTTGTTATCTTTTAATACCTTTGAGAACATTGTGCACACTTGCAAGAAATATTGATTTTACCAAGGCATTTAATATTATATAACTTCGCACTCAGTAAAACATAGTGAAAAGGTAAACGATGATTCACGATAACGTGGCTGAAGATGTGATGACAAAACCACACACCAGAAAATGATGAAACAACGTTTCAGTTCGTCCTGGACCCGACTTGTTAATGGTGCAGAACAGAGTGAAATGTCGTCGTTTCTTGATTTTCTGATGTATGATTTTGGTCATCAAAGTATCAAGGTATTCATAATGATGCTTAAATAATCTTCCAAGATATAATACTGGACTTTTAAGCAATGGTTTCAAAACCCCAAGTCTTACAAAATACTCCACAACCTTTAATATTGCCGCTTATAAAAATATAAGTTTTACAATTAATATTAACTAGTGCAAATATACATAAAATGGTGCCAATTTAGTCATCTAAAAACTACAAACATTACACTTGACTAACATCTAATTTTTACTACATACAGAAATACAACAAAATCACATATGGTAAAGCTTACTCAAAACTCAATATACAGTACTGACTTATCAATATATTGAGCATATCCTATAGCAAACTTCTCAATACAGAACATTTAGCTTTTGGTAGTCAAATAATACAACTTAACAAAAATGCAACACAGTTATATAAACACTACATTCTGGAGTCGTTATCACTGACAACTGGAAGAATGTAACGACAAGACAAATACAGTCATACCAATTACTGTACCTCAAAAAACTAAGTGCGGTACATTACAGTAGGTCCTCGCTCCAACGAACCTCACTTCATCAAAACCCAGAATGGGTTGATCAATTAGTGTTCTGTGCACACTGTTCAGTGGATCAAACAAATGCTTGTTCTTGTGAGGATTGTTAATGTTGGGCCAGTCGGTCTAGGCACAGCAAAGTTAACAGCCGACCTAATCCAAGTATAAACTACTGGAATTTTTATTTATATTGCTATTCACCTGTTTAATCTAGCCAGCATTGAAATATAAATAAGTTCTTATCAATTAAGTTCGTGATCCTAGTAATGACAAAGTCTACTTATTATTCTGGTATTGTTACTCTCATGTAATTAATGTACTATACTTTCAATGTAATCTTTCCCAATTATAAATGCACTAGCATTTATGAATAAAGTATTTGATTGATTTAAACAAACAAATATGACATTTTATAAACTATATTACCAAAGTACTTATATAACAAAATATACAGAAAATAGAAAAAATTCAATCTATTAGAATATTGCACTGCATGGTACGGTGACAATGGTAAATATGACAAATATACAACTATTATTATCACAACAACTCAAACCTTATGCACAAGTTTGTCAAAACACTTGATGGTGCTACGTAGCACCATCAAATGTGCTGACCATCTAACCAATTTGGCCCGTATACATTATATATACATAATTTTGTCACAATGTTGTATGCCGGCAATTTTCTATAGATTGCAACAGTCAAAATGATGAGCATGTTATAAATTTCATATTGCTTAAATTTTTATATCGAGATTCACTGACTGTGTGCAGATCCGTATCATTCTGAAATGTAAGCACTGTGAATAATGATATGTTCATCATTTTTATATGGAATTATTCTCTAAAGCTTGTTCTACTGTATTCGACAAGCAAAACAGAGTGTGCAATAAATTTTGACATATATTTTAATTTAGCATTGGACGAAGGTTGGTTATGATGGGTTTGTACTCAACTAAATGTGCATCAGGGGTTATTATGAAGATATTTCACTACACTACTCTCCTGGTATTAAAGTAAAAATTTTATTAATAACAACAATAAGCCTGGAGGGTTGCCAGTCTTACGGATCGAACCAAATCTCCAATGTAACCTGCTGGCCTCATCCTACATGGTTCGTTGGAGCGAGTTCATACTGTATTTCATCACGTATACAAATAAAATTATTGCCGAATGTACTTTACTTACGGTTGATATTTTCTTTTAGTCTTAAAAAATATATTTGACTTCTGCAAAATACATATTATTGTTTCCTGAGCAATATCAGAGCAAATGCAGCAGCAAAAACCACAAGAAAACTGGCACTGATAGTGGATGTTCCATTACACCCATCAGAAGTACAGTAACACTCCTCCCAATATACACCAATGGGATCTACGCCCCAATTGCAAATGTTCGTCACACCTGTTTCAGTTACTGATGAACACCGGCGGATTACAGTACGCCAACGACCATCCCCTGTAAAATTAAAAGTGTCAAAACATGGCATCTCTGCAATCCTTTAAATAATTAAATAATAATTAAATAATTGCTTTTCATCCAAAACTCTGACTCAAAAGCAAAAATGTCATGAAAATAAAATGGCCTAAAGTGGGAAATAACTTTCTAAATGCACAGGAATATGTCTTCATCTTTAGCCAATTGCATTTGCTGTTATTGTTAGCAATGAATATTACAAATGTACTGTTATTAGTTACAAATAATGCTACATAATCTCGAGTAATCTATATCTTTTGGTATTAGGTATCACCCCTAAAAAACTGAACCTCATTTCCTAAATTTCTTAAATGTGTTTTCATTTATAAATATATACATATGCTAACTTATATCACATAGTAAGTATTACCCCCAAAAATATGCTAATTAAGACTGTACACACAAAAAGCTGAACATATGCCTGAAATGCATGCAATTAGTGCCTTTATATAAAATAAAAATACCTACCTAGTAATCACTATAATCAGACCCTCTGAGTATTTTTCATAAATATTATAATTATTATAGTAATTATTATTATTAAATTACAAAAAGAATTTGATGGATACTGAAAATACTGATATGATGTCCTCAAGTAGACTGCGTATTAGAGTTAAGAAGAAATAATCAGCTTACAGATAAACATGCGGGGAGACTGCTTGGTAATCTTGACACAAAAGGTTCCTGGGGTCACAGATTCTTCTTGGAAGCAGTCCACAGGAATGTGTGCCGTCTCGTCAAATTTTTCATAGGCACCACAGAGATCTTTACCATCAGGGTCTTCATCGGTAGAGCACTGGAAGCATTTAATTGCATTACCTGGAAAATAAATTATTTTTAATTACAGAATGCATAACGATTTATTGTACAACTCCTTATGACAGAAATCCAAAATAATGACAAAAAATATTCCAAGAATAATTTTATGAAAATCCAGAATCACATAATCCAGATTTTGGAGGTGCCTCTGCATCTTAAATATTCCATCCACATACCCATCTCATACCTTGTGCCATCTTGAAACTTTTCTACAATGGGTTGGTGAAGTCAGAAGTCTTCAGGCATTATTTCTTAATTCATCATGGGTCCTACACTAAATGTGATCTTATACGCATTCTTTCGTGATATTGGCTGTCTAGCCCTCCCACTTCTCTTATTTTGTATCTGGCCAAATCTATGAAACCGTTCCACTGATGTGATCCAATCATTTGTTTATTGTTCACAGCTTAATTGTTGTTGATAAACCCCCAACCAGCAAGAGTATAATGACAATAAATTTACTTCTTAAACATAGTTTGCATAACTATTTTTCTCATTAGAATTGCAAATCAATGCACACACACACACATAAGCAAATACATAAATTAATGTTCATTATATCACACAGGTGCTGACATTGTAAACAGGACAAAATTATAATTTGTAACACTTTTACCCAATATATTTGCCAGTAATGACACTTTGTATTTACAAGTTAATGACTTCTAAATAAATGCTGGCCATTTAAATAGCAATCTATGAAAGTGAGATAGAAATTGCAACTTACAGATCAGTCAAACCCATTCAATGATAAGCCAAAGAACAGCACAAATATTTAAAAATGTTACCCAGAATTATCTGCACATCTTATTTCATGCTTTTTTAAGTTAAACTTTTAATAAACAAACCGAGTTTAAGCACTGTATTATCCAAGTGATATATTATTTCTTTGTTCTTTTTAAATATTTGTAGCTAAATACAATACCTGTTAACTATAAACACAAGCTCATCTGCCACTGTATAAACACTTAAATTCTCTAACTATTAAACTAACAAAATAACTATGCAGTGTTAGTAATATCATGTAAATAACTTTCAACTTCCACTCATTACCATTTTGTTAGTGTGAGATATTCTAGAAATACTGTGTATGATTAGCAAACTAATAAAAGTCAAGCACAGAATGTAATTAAAAGCCATTTTTTATGAGCCCTGAGCAGCCAGAGCTGGACCAACCCCTAAGTTGGGGTTGGTCCAGCCAAGCCTTAGGAAGATGTACCAGGCCACCGAGACCCACCTCTGACTACCGGGAGCCAAGAACAGAATCTGGCTCATTCTTCAAAATAATCCCTAGGTCAAGCTTTGCTTCATACCTAAATGCATGCAATGGGATCAGAGATCAACCCAGAACTAGAAAACACAAACCTGGAACCAGCAGCCCCCAAAGCTAGGGAAATCAGCAACCCCCATAGCCAGGGAACCTGCAAGCCCTCAAGCAGGGAACCAGCAGCCCTCCACACCCAGAGAACCAGCAGCCTCCACACCCAGGGAACCAGTGGGCCCCCCACACAGCCAGGGAAACAGTTTCCCCCAGCCAGGGAACCAGCAGCCTCCACACACTCAGGGAACCAGCGGCGCACACACAACCAAGGAACCAGTGAGCACACAGTCAGGGAACCAGCAGCCCCTACAGCCTATTTTCTCAGATGCTAACCCAGTTATCTTAACTCACATAGTAAATACAGTACTGAACTAAAAAATTTGTCCATGTATGTGTTACAGACCCGAGCCCAGCGTCCGAGCACGGAGCAGTGACGACCGCGCCATCTGTGGGTCAGCTCCCGAAACCCCTCCAAATGGACGACGCCATCTAGTGAGGACGAGATATACTGGCCACAAGGGCTAGTTTCCCGTCCTAATCAGCTCGTGATGTAGCCGCTGCTGACCTCTGGTGAGGTGACGCTTAGACGGCAACACCATCTATGGAGTGGATAGGTGGGCGTTTGTGTCTAAACCTGTAAGTGAGGTGCCCCAGAGTGTAACTAGTACTGATGACGTGTCTGATTACAGAGTCGACCTGGGACTGCTGTAATGGAAGTTGGATCAGTCTACCCAAGGCAGCCGTAGAATCTCCAAGTGTAAGCTGCAGAAGTTGAGTCACCCCCCGGATGAACACTGCTGTGTTAGCCTGCCTGTGACGTGGCAGTTGAGGATTTGTTGTACCCGGGGCTGACTGGAGGAGAAGACTAACCCCTGGGGTGTTGTGGTGAGGAGAGTGATCAGCGGGATCACACGAGGCTCCTGCCTAGGGCTCGCAACCCTAGTATCGGTCGTGGAGTGGCCTAACCTGCGGAACTGATTGGAACCTGCCAGCTACAGGCTGGATTTGTGGTTGAAGGCCTCCACGACGGTGGCCTAACCTGCGGAACTGATTGGAACTTGCCAGCTACAGGCTGGATTTGTGGTTGACAGCCTCCACAACTGCGCACCCAGTGGGACTATGATTTGGCTGGCCTGTGGCCAGGGTAGACTCGTTACGAGAATCAAAGGATTCATCGTGAGGCCACAATAGAACCAGGACCACTCGTCTTGAGCACCGTGAACGTCTTGAGTCTTCGGAGGAAGACAAGTGAATGTAAATAAGTGTAGTAATAATAAGTGTGAGACTGTTTATATATTTATTTATGGTGGTGGTGCTAATATATACTTAATAGAGAGCAGTTTTATCCCTTCCCCTTTAATTTACTTGGGTTACGGAGCACACCCCTTGAAAGCCACTACAAGCTTGGGGCCGGATACCCAAGCTCTACTAACATCAGAGAAAGAACCCAGTTGCGACCCAAGAGGGCCGTAACAGTATGGCTTACCGATTTACAAAATTATCTGTTTTACATTGAAAAAATTATATATTTTTTGGAAATAAGTCAATCAATTAAATAGGAATAGAACAGAGCAGAAAGAAAATTCCTTGGTGTTCACAGTGACAACAAATTGAACTTCAATTGCCATATGCAAACAAATAAGTAATAAACAATTAGTAAACTCTCTAAAATTAAATACTATACTATGTACCTCGCACTGTCCTGATAGCATATTATCATTCCCTCAATTATCCATATCTCACCGTATCTGCACCCAAGAATCTATGACTCAAAACTACCACACACACACACACACACACCTGTTGATTGACGGTTGAGAGGCGGGACCAAAGAGCCAGAGCTCAACCCCCGCAAACACAACTAGGTGAGTACACACACACACACACACACACACACACACACACACACACACACACGAGGTCATAGATTTAAACTAGCTAAACACAGATGCCGAAGAAATATAAGAAAATTCACTTTCGCAAGCAGAGTGGTAGACGGTTGGAACAAGTTAGGTGAGAAGGTGGTGGAGGCCAAGACTGTCGGTAGTTTCAAAGCATTATATGACAAAGTGTGCTGGGAAGACGGACACCATGAGCGTAGCTCTCATCCTGTAACTACACTTAGGTAATTACACACACACACACAATTACTCCATACAAATCAGCAATTAGAAAAATAACACACTCCAACCCCCAGACACCAGGAAGTCCCCTTACATGAACATGATAAATATAAAGGCACTACATACACACTCAACTGTAAATAAATAACAATAAGAAGTCAACCCCTACACATGAAAGTGAAGACATTTCGGTCCATCCAGGATGGACCGAAATGTCATCACTTTCACTTTCATTTGATTGCCCGAAACGCTTTGCGTAATAGTGGCTTTAGGCATTGTATGTACTAGCTCTATCTATAAATCTATCAATTTTTGTAAAACCTCTTGTATGTATGTACTTTACCTGAACAAACATTTATTTATTTATTTATTATTCTATTTTTTATTTCTGGGTGGGTTTATTTATTGTAGCCGTGATATTGTGACTTTCTCTGCACTCTCAAGTGTACTCTATATATTGTTACAACTCTCAAGTGCAGTAATACTGCTAACCTCAAATGATTCTAAGGAGGCTGCAACAGACCCCATGGCCACCACAAGGAAAATAAATACCAGGACAGTATCTATTTAATATTCCTCGACTAAAGAAGAAATGCCATGCAATCAAAAGGTCCTAAACTGTGGAATGACCTCCCAAATGTAATAACATGTTGTACTGTACTACTCTTAACCAATTTAAAAGAGAAAGAGAAATATTAGTACCGGGCTAACATTACGTAAACGTGTATACATCTACCTCACCAAGCAGCACGACTCATATTTCTACATCCCAATGAAGACAATTTGTACTTACTGTTGTTAGTATTAAATACTGTGGCTGTACTGTTATTAGTTACCACTAAAGGTAAACAATTTAAGAGAGTCTATACTTTTCAGAACTACTGTATATGTTAATTTACATGACAAGGTATTATATATGACCTTATAAATGTGATATGTCATATCACATGACCTGATATTTGTATACAAAATATACAAATACTTTTCTACTGAATAATCGCTGTAATCCAATTCTTTTTGTTATATTATACTGTAATTTGTGTTGTTTGGGAGAGGCAGGATGTGCCTAGGCCTATTGAGTCACCCCTTAGGCCAACTGGCACCCACAACAGTTGCTCAGCTCCCAGGTACCTATTTAAGCGCTAGGTGAACAGAGGTATTGTGTAAAAGAAACTGTGCTCAACCATTTCTGTCCTGCCTAGGAATTGAACTGTGGTCCCTTGATTGTGAGCTGTGGATGTCGACCAGTGTGTTACAAGACCCCATTGTTCATTATAGTTCATTGTTCATTCATTCATCATACTGACCCCATTATGTTCATTATATTACATTGAATGCCCGAAACGCTTTGCGTAATAGTGGCTTTAGGCATTGTATGTACTAGCTCTATCTATAAGTCCACCAATCTTTGTAAGAATTTCTTGTATGTATGTACCTTACCTAAATAAACATTTATTTATTATTATTTATAGTACAGTACTACACTGTATATACAAATACTAGTCAAAAAGTATTTTACCTGATGGGTGGGGCGAGTCTCAACCAAAATATATCAGAGTTTATATTTTAGACTGTAATTATTGTGCTTTAAAACAAAAAATGAGCCTCTAGAGCATAGGCCTAATTGTTATTACAAAACTTTCACACTTCCAACTCACTTCTATCGATCATGTGTTTTTATTGGACAAGTTAGGTATGGCTAGTTCACGTTTGAAAACAAAACGTGAACATGATGCTGGGTTAGGTTTTGTTAATTTCTGGTCAAGTTTCACTAGTCTTTATTAAATATGCAACTTTATGTAACAAATAAGTAATCCTTATCATGCTCTTCTGTATATTTTTTTAAAATAAAAGTTATAAACAAATAAATACTGTAGTTCATTCAGGTAAAAGAACATTCATACAAAATGAGTTACAAAAAGAATGTTGGATTTCTAGAGAGCTAGTATATACTATGCCTCAAGTCACTAATACGCACAGCATTTCGGCATTAGTCATTATCACTATTAATATAGTTAACTGGGGTACAATCAAGTCGTGCACGGACATTTCAACGTTTTTTTCTAATTGTTAAAGCTATACAAAGCCTGCTGAATCATTAGATTAGGTTGGGTTGGGTTAGGTAAGCTTTAAAACAATTGGCAAACTGTGTCGGATACAGCAACCCATATCTCCGAGGCATACTTTGCTATACTCTCTGGGTATGTTAGCTTAGATTACTTTCCACTTTGGTTAGGTTAGGTTGTTAGATTTTTTATATTTTTGTTAGCCACTAGCTAACAAAGTTGTGAATGCCACTAAACATTATAATGTTGCAATTTGTTACATTTTCAACTAATAAAACCTATTTCAACACAAGTAGGTTACTTCTATAGGTACCACTATTATTAAAATGGTAGGAGTAACTTAGTAAAACATTATTTTCCATTCACATTACAAATGTGAGCATGGTATAAGGGGTCTAGTGGTGTACCACCGTGCTACAGGCAAATTACTCACATCATTTCCACAAGGCGATTTCTAATTTCTAAAACCTGTTGGATTAGCTTGACTTGGGGCTAGATACATACAACTTTACCATTGTGATCATTGCTGTCATCTTATGTGTGTTACCAATGTGTTTTAATGTGCCTACTAATCTTTGTCAAATTTTATTACAATATACCAGTTAACATGTTATAAATTTGGCTAGAAATTATTTTCTTAATATTATCTGTTAGATTATTAAGGACCTGCCTGAAACGCTGTGCGTACTAGTGACTACAAGAATGTGAACAACACATGCTATGTACTCTTACCAACCCAATGTATCTTCAAATTCAAATCCTTTTTTCAGAAAAAGTACATATATACTTGATTTACAAACATAAAGTTGGATTTATAGATAGAGCCAGTACATACAATACCTAAAGCCACTAATACACGCAGCATTTTAGGCAAGAAGCATTTCTTCTTGTGTATATATATATATAAGTTAGTTAGATAAGTTCTGTTAGATTAAGGACCTGCCTGAAACGCTGCGTGTACTAGTAGCTTTACAAGAATGTAAATACTATGCTATGTATTCTCTCTAACCTAATGTACCTTCTTGTATATAAATAAATAAATAAAAGAGGTAGTAACCCCGCTGGCAGACAGTGGCCGGCTTCCTTAACAAACACCTACAACACTTGCCCCAATCACAAGATATAATAACATGATATTGTTGTTAGGTATGACAGTAGAGTCATAGTCCATGACAGTAGAGTTAGTGAGAAGTGTAGGAGTGAGTATAGGGTCCCACCACCCTGGCCTTGAACCTCACACCAGAGACGTTTGGGCACGCTTCCTTACACCTTATGACTCTCTTCACTCCTCAGTAAATAGGTAGTTGACCGCTGGGTGACTGGAGAAGGCTACACCCTAGGCCAGGTCAACAGTAGGCCTAGAGGGGGGGGTGGGGGAGCTGATAGGCCTGACAGCCACTAGAGTGACGGATTACAGGGAAGAGTGACGTATTGAGGGTCATACCACCACTTACTTTCCCACACACTGGAGAGCACCAGCAGCAGCGCCAGGAGCGGGGCCTTCTGGGTCATCTTGGAGGAATTATTATAGAATTCAAATGTCTTGTTGTTTGTTTCTTGAGGAAGTTGGTCGAGGCGTGTCCTGCACGGGGCTGCCAGACGCACGTGAGGCGCGGTGCCACACTCGTACGCAAGTTCTCGTACCCTCGTACACTGTACCCTCGTACAGTTCTCGTACACTGACGCAAATTCTCGTACCCTCACCTTCTTCACAAACATTTATACTTTATTTGTATTTATTTATATAAACAAGAATTCTTATATTCTTGTAAAGTCACTAGCACGCATAGCGTTTCAGGAAGGTCTTTAATCCTAATTTTCCCCGGAATACGACCCGCCAAATCGTTTACCCATTTTACTGTTGGGTGAACAGAGGCTACAGTTAAGGCTTGGTGTCCATGGCAGGGCTCACAGCCCTGACTGTGACCTCGTTAGGTGGTTGTTGTTGAAGATTCAGCTACTGGGAACAAAACGTTCCAAGTAGCACAGGCTGTGGTGAGCCCGTAGTGAACTTACCTGGCACAGGAGCTGTGCCCTCGTTAGGTGATTGATTGATGAAGATTAAGCCACCCAAAAGGTGGCACGGGCATGAATAACCCGTAAGTGGTGACCCTTTTGAGCCATTACCAGTATCAAGAGCCGATACTGGAGATCTGTGGAGGTACGACTGCACCCTGCGTGACGGGAGATGTCTCCCATGTGGCTCGTTAGGTCACAGGCAGAGCTTATATTGCCTGCAGGTGACGTCACGGCTGGCGCCAAGGTGAGGTGTAAACCATGAGCCGGCAAAGTAATGGGTAGTTTGCGTGTGCTGACAAGTGACCAGCGAACACCTGACGTGTGGGGCTCTCAGGACAGGGTAAGAGAGTCCGTGGTGGGGGTCTCCAGACGTCTGGTTGGAGGTTTTGATGTTGTAGAGGAGGTAGGAAGATGCAACTTCCACTGTTATGCAGGGGAATTATGTAACAATATCATTAAAGAGAACAAAGGCTGGAGGCAAAAGCATCAGGCTGCCTAAGCGGCAGGTATGGTGACTTTACAACAGCATACATGAAAAAATAAATTCAAAAGCGGAAGCTCCTCGCAAGGGCGGGAGGGTTGTCCTGTATGTGCATAGGGTCCCCCGACCGCCGTCATACCCACTCGTGGGCTTCGGCCAGGTCGTCCACCCTCCTGTGAGAAACCACTCAGGGAAGTGGTACCCCTTGGTGACGACTCTGCATAGGTAACTATCTACCAGTTATCCTGGCTGTGGGTCTCCCCATCGTGACTATATCTCACCCTGTGCACCCATTTCACTGTGATCTAGGGGTTAAGGTGGTCTTCCCCTTGGTGTGGACGTGGACCATATTCCTTAGAGGCTTTCACAGAGCAAATCTGAAGGTCACTCTTGGTGAGGCCCATACCTTGTAGCCCGCGTGCACTCTCCTTACACCACCCCCTTTCTCCAATTCAGGATGATAGAAAAGGTGGACGCTGTGAGCCTACCGGTATATTTCCTGACCTATTGGAGGATCTCTGGGGTGTAATGCTCTGATGTGGACGGGTGAGTGGAAAGTTATCAGCACAGACCTGGGTGTCTATAATAAAGGCTTCGTCATCTTTGCAACCAATGATGTCAGGCTTGCAGGTCCCTCCATCCGGTATACGGACTCGTGAGGTTCCACCACAAACCTCTCTGTCGCAGGTGGCTAGCTACGAACTGTGTGATATCGTCATGACGCTTCACCCGAACCCCATGCGTCTTGTAGCAGGCTTGAGATATGTGGTCTAGAGTCCCCGACAGGCGTCGCAGAGACCGGAAGCCCCAGGTCGACCCCTAGCAGCTCTAGACGGAGTGGATGTACAGAATTTGATCTAATCTAGATGGCTTGGACAAAATCTCCTTCGCTTAGCAGATGGGTACCGGACGAGACCCACTTGTGGCAGGATGGAGCGTTACAAACGAATGCAAGGCCGGCACCGTCAACTATGCTGAACAGTTTTGCATTCCATCCTCTAGAGTTCTCGGACGTTCCGTTAGCAGGGGTTCCAGCGGCCGTGGTCGGATCTGCCCATCGACGCATTCGGGCTTGGAATGCGGGGAGGAGAGCCGCTGCCATCACCACTGGATCCTCAGACTCAACCGTCGCCCTGAACCGCTTGTTCTTCAGCAGGCGGATGCGGCACAGAGAAACTCATGTCTTGCGATGGGCATCCACTGTTAAGCATAGCGTACGGCACTTCGCTGCATTCACCTTAAGGCCAGAACTACGCAGTGTTCGACAAATACGGTCTATAAGAGCCTGCAATCCGTTAGGCGTTTCTGCTGCCCAACTACCAGATCATCGGCGAATGCCAGGGCTGACACCTTTTCTTCCCCCAGTCCGATCATCAGCCCCATCTTCTTAGCCCTAAAATGGCCTCATCAATTATTAGCCTTAAGTAGTCCCAGGTCAGGTCAGGCGGCTAAGCTCCACCTATTCTTCCTTGACAATGAAGGAGGGTTTGTTGACCAGACCACACACTAAAAAGTGAAGGGACGACGACGTTTCGGTCCGTCCTGGACCATTCTCAAATCGACAATCGACTTGAGAATCCAGAACGGACCGAAACGTCGTCGTCCCTTCACCTTCTAGTGTGTGGTCTGGTCAACATACTTTAGCCACGTTATTGTGACTCATCGCCTGCATAAGGAGGGTTTGCCCTCTTCATCACACTTCACATAGTGGCTTTATGTAATAAGCAATTACTTTACCAACTACATGTATATCCAATTTAATGTCCAATGTTTTGTGCATTACTCCTATGACCTTTGTACACACATTCTTTTGAATAAACATTATTATTATTAATACTATTAATATTGTAAAGGGTTACAGAGGCACATAATGGGCTCAGGGACTGAACCCCACAATTCATTTAGCTAAGCAAGTTACAAAATTCAGTATAAGTCGTCACATCAACAATGGGTTCGAGATCGACCACAAGTACAGTTTTAACAAGTCAATAATGATCTAGTAGTAGGATACGCGAATGGCAATGCTGGGGTCGTATTCGCGCCCACCTATGGTCCTAGTGGATTTTCTCATTATTATTATTATTATTATTATTATTATTATTTGTATTAATGTAATTTGACCTGCTAAGACCTGTTATCATACAAACAGAGATAGCCCGCGTGCATGTGGCGGACATGCTCGTCGATTTGAAGCTGATAAGATAATAACTGAGGGTTACCAAAACTGCAGATATATATCTATGTCAGTGTTATGAAAAGTTTGTATAGTTACACTAAATTAACAGCCATTATATGATGTTAGCCTTTACTAAGAGTATATAAACTGTATAAATGTCTGGTGCTATTGGACTATTGCATCCTAGCATGAAGACCTCTTCAGAAGGACATATACTCTATCAGCTTTGGAGGAAGTTCAACACCGGGCGACAAAAATCATCTTAGGAGGAACGTTTGAGGGGACTCAAGGCTAACAACACTGCCAACCAAACATGACAGAGTTGATCTCATGGAAACCTTAGATAAACTTACAGCTACTTGATTTATACTTTGTAATTCTTAATATAGACTAGGGTAGCAGCACACAACGGTTTCAAGCTCAACAAGCCACACACTCTAGGATTGAAAACAGATGCTTTTCACCCATTGGCTTATAAACCCATGGAACCGCCTACCCGTCGAAGACGTAAATGGCAAAATACTGTTGCAATTTAAGATTCCAGCTTGATAAAATCACAAAATTTAAATTTAAATCATAAGGAAAAACGAGGAAGAAATAGAAAATATGAAAACGAAAAGATAGGCAGTTGAATTGGGCTGTCGCCTCCCTCCTTACTGTTCATAATCTATACGTCACCAGTCACCTCCCAGCTGCCGGCCCGTCACCACCCGGTCACTCACTACCCGGCCCCGTCACCACCCGGTCACTCACTACCCGGCCCCGTCACCACCCGGCCATTACCCAGGTAACCAGTCACTTTATACCTTCAATCAGTATGTTATTAATATAAATTATATATATATATATACACACACACACACTAGCTGTACCCGGCCACGCGTTGCTGTGGCTCAGCAACGCAGCTGAGAAACAGCAACCTTCCTTCTGTCTCCCAGTTCTCCCCTCGATTCCCCCCTCTCCCGTCCCCTCGTCTTCCCAACCATTCCTCACTCCCCCGCCCCCTCGTTCTTCCCACCATTTCCTCCCTCCCCCATCCCTATGTCCTCCCCCACCTTCCATCACTCCACCGTCCCCTCGTCCTCCTAACCATTCCCCACTCTACCATCTTCCACTCCCCCATCCCCCCTTATTATTCCCCCCTCCCCCATCCCCTAATCCTCCCCTTCATCCCCCACTTCCCTGTCCCCTTGTCCTCCCCCACCAATCTCCATTCCCCCTGTCCCCTCGTCCCTACCATCCCCAACTTCCTGTCCCCTCGTCTTCCCCGCCATGACCTCCTCCCCTGTCCCCTCGTCCTTCCCAGAGCATCAAATGATCTGATGTTCCCATCACTGAAAAATAAGTAGAACAGTTAAAAAAAAAAGAAATTAAAAACAATGAAAAAATAAAAAATAAACTATACTCATGAAATGAACAGTATGGTAAACAACACAGCTCAATTCCAACACAATGTCACACAAAATAATTGAATAAAAATTAAAATAAATCAAAATCTTTGAAAAGTAAATTTATCAATGCAATCGGAAATATTGAAATGTAATTTGTAACATATTTAGTATAGCATGTGTGTAGCTATTACGTGCAACAGATGGTGCTGTTTTTAAAAAATAACACGTTTTTACCTGTCACAGGTGTGGCATCTATATAGTAGGTATATAAAAACACGTGCATATTCGAATGCAATGTTGTGTCAGAATTTCAAAGCAATCAGTGAAGAACTTTCCGAGATAACAGTGTGTGTTGCTCTTCCGTTCAACAGATGGCGCTGTTTTTCATAAAAAGCGAGTTTTTTCTTGTCACAGGTAAGGCATGTATATCGTAGGTATATAAAAACACGCACTTATTCAAATGCAACGTCATGTCAAAATTTTCAAAGCAATCGGTAAAGAGGTTTCAAAGATTTCTCTCACACAATAAACACATGAAAAGCACAGTTTTTCAAAAAGCATGTTTTTTCCGTCACAGACATGACATCAATATAGTATGTATATATAAACCCGCTCGGATGCGAATGGAACATTGTGTGAAAATTTCAAAGCAATCAGTGAAGAACTTTTGGAGATTAGCGATTTTGAACAATCGAACATTTCCCTTTTTATTTACATAGATATATACCTGCACTAGGAGGGGTACCCGGCGGTGCCCGGGATAGTCAGTCTCTCCCCAGACCCCCTATTCCACCCCTTTTTTTCCCCCTTCTTCCCACCGTTTCCCCTCTCCTTACTTCCCTCCATTTCTCTACCCTCCCACCCCTCTCACCTCCAACCCCGAACAGAGATTTACATTTACATATACTGTATATAAGGAGTACAAAGCTGCACCTATAGGCCTCTTTCCCCCTCTTCACCCCATTCCCCCCCCCCCCTTCACCCTCCCTGCTTTTCCTTCTCTCAGAAAATTTATTGAGAAGCAATGACACAACTGTATGTCTCTCATAAAATATATTATTACAAACACTAAAAATTCTAAGGGGGATCACACCATATATTTCACAGACTCCATAGACATTGCATGGGGGGGTCTATAATTGCAAATATTTTTTAAAACATTTAACTTAGGCCTACCCCGACCAGCCTATGTTTGTCCCGTACCCCAGACCATGCATTCTCTCTACTAATTTGGGTGAGGTTAGATTTTAGTAAGAGAGTCGAGTGCAGTCTGGGATCGGAGTTTGTTATTGCTCTAACTGCTGAGTTATGTAGAATAATTAGGGGTCAAGAGAGAATGCCAAAAGTTTTAGAAACTTTTGTTACAGTGTTAGTATATGGCACTAGAAATTCAGTGTATCACTGTATAGGTAAACACCAAGGAATTTCCAATCTACACTGTTGAGTTGATGGTAGATGGTACAATGGCTACACACATAATATAGGTTCCTCCAATGCACCTGCACCATGTGGTGGCTCAGTCAAGCACAGCACATGGCATGCCTGAGCCACAGGTGTGTACCAGGGGTGACTAACACACAGGTTACCGGCAGGTGGAGCCACCATGGAACATGATGGAGTCACCATCTCAACACTACCACTAGCAGGTAAGCAACACACACTTTCCAACCCTTGCTTCCTTCAAACACAAATATTTATGAATTTGTACATACAGTATTAAAATATATCACAGTGATAGCAACATCACAACCATGATGTTGTTTATCAATGTTTATCAGATTGATAAAGAAAAGGAACTGCAGTAATCATCCACCACCAATTGAAAGTTGCTAAACAAGAAATTGAGTAAAGTTGCGCCAACTCGCTGGAGGCCTCTCCAGGCTTGTGAGACCTGGAGCTTATGCGAGATGTGAAGAGGAGAGCTTGTGCGAGACCTGAAGATATTATGTTGTCGGATTTGGAATTTTCTTGTTCGTGGATTCTAAATTTGTTTTCAAATTTGTGGTTTAATTTGAAACTTAGCAGAATTATATTTTTTTGTTGGCATATTTGCCATTTTTTGTTGGAAAATTTGGAATTTTTTGGGGGGGCAGATTTGGATTTTTTTTGTTTGCAGATTTGGACCTGTTTTTTCTGTTGGAGTTGGAATCTTTTGCTGGCAGATTTGGATTTTTTTCATTGGCAGATTTGAAATTTGAAGTCTGCCCAATATGTCTTTGACCTAGAGTGTGCACCTAAGGTGTTCAAATAAGCATGTTCAATCTCATTGTGTCACTTCAGTATTTTCTCTACATGTTTTCCCACCTATTTTTAATTACTGTAGAAAGTGGTGACATTTATTGTGCACTCCATATTCGTCCTGTGAGTGGTAGTTTATTGTGCACCCCATACTCATCTTGTGAGCAGATATTTTACATCACCCTTCATTTTTCCTGCACAACTTATAATTATAACAATAGCTAGTAATAAATGTCTTTCACTGTAACTTCTATGAATAACAATACAGTATATAATAGATTATCATCATCATTAGATAACATTTGAAATGAGGTTTTTTAAGATCTATATTACCAAGGATTGAGTACTGCTTTGGGTAAGTGATTGGACAATTGTTTATAAGTAAGATGTAGCTAGGTGTGCAGTGATGCAGAGGACAAATAGTTGGCATACATGGTGTCTTCTCGTGTCGTTTATGAGGGCTGTTTCACAGTCAATCCAAGATCATCTCTCTCCCCACTAGTATCTGCAAGCTCTCTAGACTTGGTGTCACTGGAGGGAGAAAAGAAGAAGTTGAAGGCCCGCCTGGAGGAGGCGCAGGAAGCCCTAACCTGTCGAGTGTGTCTTGATCGCCCCATCGCTGCTGTCTTCATGCCCTGTGCCCACCTCAACTCCTGCAGCTCCTGCTCCTCCTCCCTCACTATGTGTCCTCTCTGCCGCTCACCCATTCACTATGCTGCCCCTGTCATCATAGACTGAAGAACTTCCCGGGATGCAGTGCAACCTATGTACCAATTGTGTTCCGAGGGTGTAATATTTTATTCTTCAGCATCTTGTATGGGCCAATAGGCCTTCTGCAGTTACCTTTGTTCTTATTACATGAATTTACAATTTATGCCTGCAGGACCTTACCTAATTGTTTCCTCTATAATGTACCAACTCTCAACCTATTTTTCCCAATCACCTAAGAATTAGCAATATCCAAATTAATAACAGTAGATGTTACTAATTTGACATGATGAGAGTACCAGATTCCTTGGTACTCTCATTGAATTTCCAGTGCCATATACTAAATATAGCAAAAAAAATACTAAAATAGGTAGCATTCTTTCTAAAATCAGATTCTGTACTATGTACATCGATCTGCCGTGGTAATGCTTTATTACTCGATCATCTATCCTTATCTCACCTATGGTATCTGTGCCTGGGGTTCTACTACCCAAAATTATATTTGACCCTAATCACTAAACACAAATCAGCAATTAGAACAGTAACAAACTCGAAAAACAGACAGCACTTAGCTCCCTTACATAAATCTTTGAATATATTAAATATTAAGTCACTACACATTCTGACAAGCTTCCTAGAGCTGTAACAGAAACCACGGACACCACACTGGAATCAAATGTCTTTTTGATATTCAAAGTTCAAAAGAGTGCAATTTAACCAAAGCAGAAATGCTCTGCAATTCAAGGAAGGGTCCCAAAATGTGGAATGACTCACCTTCTCTCAACCAATTTAAGAGTAGTTAAGAACTACTTAATAAACTATGTAACCAACCTTACTTCCTAAATGTCAACCTATGTTTTGCTGTTATTGAACTTACTAACTTGTACTATTACTGATATATGCCAAAAATTGTATACCTCTATTCTGTAAAAATCACTGTTGTTCCGTTGCAATTTTTTCAGCTCCAATCATCACGTAATATCTATTTTATTTCTATTTGTCCACTTCAATTCATGAACCTCATAGGAGGCTGTCTTGGGTTCAGTTCTCATACTCTACATTTTACACTTGGAACAATCTTCTTAACTCACCACCTCTTATAATAGCTTCCTACCCTCTTTCTTAGTTTCACCTTGGCTGCCATGTTTGATTTTTTAGAACTAATTGTTTACTACTTAACTTGTTCCAGTAGGAATTTAAGGTATCCTGTAATTTTGCTTTCATTTATGGTGTGTGGGTTGAAGCTAGAGAAGATGAAGGTATAATACTGTCATCAGCAAATAGTATAGACTTATGAAGGTTAGACTCATTACGTCATTTATTTTAATGTAGAGTACTGTATAAAATAAGTGGGAGAGGTCCTAAATTGCTGCCATGTAGCACTCCTGTGGTTAACATGAGTTAGTAATTATTAAAGAAGGCACCAAGCCTGAATGTCTGGTTAACAAGAATGTGGGAGAGGTTATAAAATTGATTTCACATTTGTCTTAAGTCGAGATATGATCAGATGTAGTTCTGAGCAACAGAAAATTCCATATTAATGAAATTTATGTAGGTGATAGTTTTATAGGCTTTTCTCAAGTCAATGAGGAAGCCAAATGGGAGTTAATTCTCGTCTAACTAAAATTACTTCCCCTATTACCCCAAAAACTTAACTCTACACATTTCTAACGTTAGGTTATGCCCAAATCACCATGCAATTATTGGCTTTATAAAATATACAAATACAGTACTTACTATACCTAGTAACCACTGTAATTTTAGCCTGTATTTAATATAGGTAAAATACTACCTCAGTATTAACAAGATAGACAAGTTTGTTTTGCTTCACCTGTACTTTCTGGCCAGTTTTACTTAGTTAAGTGGTTGATGAAGATTATGTAGTCCAAAGACCTTTTAGTCTCGTGACTATGGCGATACCCGAGCCAATGCACTGGGAAGCTACAAAGGACCAGCCTAGAATAATAAGGTAGAATACATGACAGTAGTAACCTAATTCTTATAACTTTTACAAGAATGTAAAACTGTCTTAATAACTATGCCCTTAAAAATTATGGGTGTTATTAAAATCTTATAAACAGCATTTAGTTTAAGATTTTTTTACCCCCCCTCCCCCCAACACAATTTTTACTTTACTCCCAATTACTATTAAGTTTTAGTCCAAGTGTATTTGCCCCCACACCTTGCCCAAAATGCTATGCGTATTAGTGGCTTTAGGTATTGTATGTATTAGCTCTATCTATTAATCCAACATTATGCTTGTAACTCTGCATCTATGTATGTACTTTTCTTGAATAAAATATTATTATTATTATTATTATTATTTGTAATACAATATTTTTATATAGTGGTACATGCTGTATGTGTACGAGTCGGTCGATGCATTAGTCTTTACTGTACTGTTCTGTACAACTATAACTTTGAGGACAGAAAGCTTGTACTTAAAACTTATCGAGATCCTCCTAGGTCAACTACTGACCTTCCTCGGGATGCAACCTGCAATAATTGCCCAACTTTTGAGTACCTAATTTACTGTTAGGTGAACAGAGCCATCAGGTGAAAGGAAATATCGCCATCCATTATTGTCCTGCCTGGGGATTGAACCCAGGTCCTTCTGTTGTGAGCTGAGGACACATACCACTATGCTACAAGTACAAGGCCAGATCAAGCGCTTAATGTCATCAATGTTTATGTATGGAAGACGAGACAAATTTTGCCACATGCAACATGAGAGCACACACAGCTGCAAGGTTTACCTTGGATACTAATTTCTAAACTGATAACTCCCTCGTGCAGCAAATGAAGTGGCCAGCTTTATCCAAGAGAAAGAGCAAGGACACACATTCAAGGGAAAATATCTGTTTAGGAGGAAGTTCATCATCGACAATGACAAAAATTATTCCATAACCAAGTCAACTCTCGTATCAGGAATGGTTGAGGGGCACAGGGATAACAAACACAACACTGCAAGCCTGACATGACGAAGATCTCATCAAGACTTAAAATACTGAACAAGTTGAAGGATATTAATCCAGACTACTACTTTAAAAGGTCTGCATACAAGGGGGCAACAGATTAAAGCTCAACAACCTATAGTGTAGGAACAGGAGATGCTTTTTAACCCATAGTGTTATAAACCCCATGGAACTGCCTAGCCATAAAAACCATTAATTTACCAAGACATTACTTCAGTTCAAAATCATACGGAGAAATCCTCAGGAACAATTACAGAGGGACCTTTGATAAGCCACCAGCTTCCTGTCCGTCAAGGCCACTCGAGATACCTGGTTGATGGGGTTCTGGGAGTTCTTCTACTCCCAAGCCCGGCCCAAGGCCAGGCTTGACTTGTGAGAGTTTGGTCCACTAGGCTGTTGCTTGGAGCGTCCCGCAGGGATGGTGGTCCTCAGGTAAATTCAGGTAAACAGTATCATGAAAATTATGTATCTTTGGCTACTATTTATTGCAGAAATATAACCTTTTAAAACTAATGTTATTCACATTCAGATCATAATTACCATTACAGATAAATAAGGAGTAGGCTGCATGACTTAATATTGAAGACTGAATAAGCCCAATGAAAAGTAAAACCTTAGAACAAGAAAATTTGTATCACTTTCAGTTTTATACAATTTACTCAGACCTGGCAATATACCTGTTTGGAATAATACACAAATTAGGAACTTATATGTGGAGATTATGCGCTAAAAATACATAGCTTATAAATCTAATACACATGTGCTGATGAGCACTAAACAGTGCACAAAGCATTTTCCAAACTGCACTCATGATGGTATCCTTTTACTGCTATGACTTGCTCAGACAAATCCAAAACAAATACTGTACATAAAATACTAAATGCTTTCTGTAAATTGTAATAATTATCGAAAGAAGGCACCAAGTCAGGAAGACTATGTAGCACCATCTATGTCGCTGGTTATTCAAAAGCTAGAAAATATCACTTGCGATGTCAATATGAGAATAAAAATAAATATGTAATTTAGATTTATCATAGCATATGTAATTTAATAAAACAGAAATATGACATGTATTCTATGGTTCAAAGGAGAATAATTAAATACAAAGGGGAAAGAAAATTTAGTTATGTCAGGGAAGTAAAGTATTTAATCCTTTTGAGGGTCAAAATTGAACACGTTTGTGTAGAGCAGAATACAAGGTCTTGTCTTGTTATTCTGTACTTTGTACATTCCTACAGTCAAAATGTCAAGATTAAAACAAGTGAACTTGAGACAGATGTTATTAATTTTCCTGTTACGGTGCTTCCATAAATAAGAGACAGATCAGTAAACAAATCCACAAGGGCCGTGACGAGGATTCGAACCTGCGTCCGGGAGCATCCCAGACACTGCCTTAATCGACTGAGCTACGACAGGGTTAAGAGAGTTGAAACTGAAGTTCTACTGAACTTACTGGATCCCGCAGCCTCTCCGAGGCACAAACCAGGGTTTTACACAACTCCCCCCTGCACCGAGCTATGTCAATAGGCCGTTCTCCCTCTTCGCCTTTACATCATTACATTTGAATTATCCCGTTAGTGTGATTTCTGTGTGTGTGACAGATCAGTACATAACTAAAATGTTTGCGTTATCATAATACAGTGCAGATGAGGAGTCACAATAACGTGGCTGAAGTATGTTGGCCAGACCACACACTAGAAAGTGAAGGGACGACAAGTCGGTCGACTTGAGAATGGTCCAAGACGGACCGAAACGTCGTTGTCCCTTCACTTTCTAGTGTGTGGTCTGGTCAACATCATAATACAGTATTAGCATCAAGATACTGGAGACGGTTTAAAACAAATTATGGCATAAAAATTATCAGAATTTTAATGAGTTTTCTTAAACAGATTCAAATGGACAAAGATGCTAATATGTTTGTATCCTTTTATACTTTATAGTAATAATCTTTACAATGTCATAACTTACAAATACACACAGATTACTTATGTAAGCAATGTCAAATATAATAAATCTGCTACATTTATGATTATGCAAAATCTCTTTCAATTAAAACTGAAGTACACAGACAGTGGGTGATAGGCAAACACAGGAAATAATGATGACCCTTTTCATTTTTGCTTAAGACTTAAACATGTTTAATTCAAGAGTGAAGCGCTTATATAAATACTAAGAATAACTCGTGAGCATATTTGGAAAAATGCAAAGTTGTGCTTGAACATATTACAGGTAAATGTGATCCTTAAATACCATCACACTTCAACTGTAAATCAACTGATAATTTTGTTTTGTTTTAAGGACTGTTCTTACAATTAAAATTGTCAAATTACACTGAACATGTTACTACTTTATAATGTAATGAACAGGATATTAAGGTGCTGGAAATTGAAATTACTGTACTCTGAATTCTGAACAATTTGTTCACACATGCTGAGAATCAAATTCTGTTCCATGTAGATTAAAATACTGTATCTTAAGAGCTTTCAGATTTATACCCGATTCTTTATGTTGTACAGGCATCTTATGTTCAAGTGGTTTCTTAATGATACGGAGACTATGACAAACTGATGACGAATATAATGTACATTTAAACATTTTCATTATGGGGGCCATGATTAATTATGCATTACACACCTACACGTAGAAATGTTCGTGTTAGTATTACGTATGTTCGTATTACGTGCTCTTTTAAGTCTTCCATGGAATATAAATACTTTACCAAGATACCTATATGACTTACAATCTATGGCAGCAATAACTTAACGGAGCTGCTTTGTGAACACAAAGGAAAGTTACAAATAAAAGGTCATACCTTCATGATTAAAATAACTGATAATATAGTATGCTGACAAAAAATTTTTTACACAAATTATTTAATTTTCAGCAATCACTTTTCTGAAAATTTAGTCTGGTAATCTTATAATATATATAATATATGATCATTTATGTTTGAATAAAAATACTGTAAAATAAAATTTATAATTAGGAATATCCTATTCTTTGGCATCAGTAAACTTGCATTTTAAGTTATTATAAACTTAGAATGCATGTTTTGCATATTACGGGAAATCACATTCTAAATCTAAGTTATAAATAGTTTTGTCATCTTAAAATTTCCAAAATTACACTCACTCAGTCTGAAAAACTTTACGAATAAATATCCGACAAAAACCTTTGGTAGTACCAGTTATAAGTCATTGTCCCCAACTTCCTCTTCATTAACAATGGGTTTTTTGTCCTCAGTGGCAGCAGAAGCAATCTTGGCAGTGACTTGAGAGAGTGTGTGTTGAACCGAACCGAAGACAGTACCGCCGGCAGGTGTCGGTTCCGTCAGCAAGGTAGAATAGCTACTGACTGGCTCTCCCTCGCGGGAGTGATGTTGACCATAAATGAAGTACACCAGGAGGCCTGTAGAACAAGAACAGGTTACTCTTGACCATCAGTTATTATTTAATCTTATTAACACTTTGACTGCACGACAACCAGGGATGTTCTTGCCATTTATCCATAAACTACATGACACGATCGGGGATGTTTTAAAGAGCTGCTCAAGGTTTAAAACTTTTGCAGGTACAACGGGCTCACATCCATTTCCTCAGGCTTCTAGTAGACAGATAATATCTTTGAAAAATTTCACAGGCACCCATCTTGGGAGTGAGGGGCCTCAGTACTAAGACAACAACCATGAGTAGCACGTGCAGCAGCACCAGCTCTCAGCACTAATGTAGCTTGTGCTCACACCTTCACTTAACCCTTCAGGTGTGCATCCTAACAGGTAATATTTATCCAATTTACCTGTGCCCCATTAACCCAAGTGGCTTCAACGAGGACAGAAAGCCGGCGGCTTGTCGAAGGTCTGGGGGCCTGACAGCCGAGTTGACAGCGCTTCAGATTCGTAGTCCTGAGGTTCCAGGTTCGATCCCAGGTGAAGGTGGAGACAAATGGGAAAAATGTTTTTCACCCTGATGCCCCTGTTACCTAGCAGTAAATAGGTACCTACAAGTTAGACAGCTGCTATGAGCTGCTTCCTGGGGATGTGTAACAAAAAGGAGGCCTGGTTGAGAAATGGGCCACGGGGACGCTAAGCCCCAAAATCATCAAGATAACCTCAAGAAGGTCCCATTTGCCTTGATCTTTTCTAGGTATATTTAAAAACTTGATACAGATTTGGCAGTTATGGCTTTGGCGGGTAGGCAGTTCTGGCAAAGACTATGTACAATGTTCACATATTGATGAACACAATGCTGTTTATGATGCTCTCATCATCCTGCCATTGTTTGGTGCATCTAAGCATCTTGAAACGACAACACATGTTCCTTTAGACAAACTTGCACAAAATTATTCATATTCAGGATTTAGTGAACAGGATTCTGATAACATTGTGCACCAGTTACTGATACACACATTATACTGGAGGGAATCGTCAGCTGACTAGTGTATTGACATTATGCTATTCAGGTCCACAAGACTAACTTAGTGGCTATAAAGTGCACAAAAATGTAAATAGTTATATATAGTTGGTGCGTGTATATAGTGTAATAACAGCAAAAACAGTATGTTACAAAGAATATAATACTTCACTCATTAGCGACAAATATATCTGTGTACTAATATTCGAAACATTCTAAGACATATTATTGACAGCCCAATACAACATTGCACTTGAAAAAACATGGTAAAAACACTCAAAATACAAAGAAAATAGTACCATATATTCAATAAGAGCTGTTAGAATTTAATGCAAAATATGTGTGACTTGGCTGAACTCTGATAACCAGTTATAATATTATTGCACTTTTGTGTTTGAGGGATGAGAAAGGGGAACTATGGACCGCTAAGGTTGTATCAAGTGAACACCAGAATATATAACGGGATACCGTTCAATGTATATACAAACAAAGTGGCAAATTTTTCAAGAAATTTTTGACCTGCCCGAAACGCTGCGCGTACTAGTGGCTTTACAAGATTGTAATTACCATATTATGTATCCTCACAATCCCAATGTACCTTCTTGTATATAAATAAATAAATAAATAAATAAATAATGAAACTTATGGTGAGGTACAGTTGAATGGAGAGAGAAAGAGTACCTCATGATATGTCTGGGAAGTCACCAAAGCCAGACAAAGCAGCATCACTTAAATGTGACAGTAATTATCATTATTACACTCTGCCTTCCTGTCCCCCAACTTAATGAATTATCATCAAAAGAAGGAACCAAGCTGTGGAGACTTTGTAGCACCATCAAAGTCGCAGCATAATCAAAAGGCCCTAAATATCACCAAGGATGCCAATACGAGAACAAAAGTGCACATGGCGAGCCACATCAAAGGTACTGTATCAGATTCACTGGATTTTATTTAGGGACAAAAGACTGCGAGGGATTAATTGTGACGAGTTATGTATGTATATATGGATGTCGTATTTCATCCACATGCGGATGGAATCCATATGAAATGGACTGTTACCATCATTAATCATTTTTTGTACTTGTGCCTAGCTTGAGACACTAGCAACTGTCTTAAAATTGAGTACAATTAAGGATGAAAAAGAATCATTTACAGTTCATGTATGAAGTTTGGAGCCACTTTCACATTTGAGAACAAGAAGACAAATAGTTTGGTCTGAAGGGTAGAGGCCAAGTTGTTTACATAGGCTCCCCACTCAAAATACAAGTAATTTATTCCAAATGCATGATTGAGCTGATGAGTTAGCCAAAGACTCTGCCTTCAAAGAAGCTACTGACTATAACTTTCAATAGGCTATAAAGAGCTTGATAAAAATAATACACCAATAGCTTCAACGTCATAAAACTGTGAAAGTAAAGTCTACACTAGCTATTCAATCCACCCATCATACTACTGTATCATGCAAGAACCACAAATCATCTACCACAATCGACTTGAGAATGGTCCAGGACGGACCGAAACGTCGTCGTCCCTTCACCTTCTAGAGTGTGGTCTAGTCAACAAATCATCTAACTTTTTAAGATGAATTTTGGGGTCTAGTTTGCACGTCCATTATGTGCCTCTGTAACCTTTTCCACTACTGCCCTCAGGATGGGTATGGGGTGCATAATAATCTAAACTCCGCTTCTCTTACGTGTGTTTCAGGTTCCTAATTTGTTCTTTAATTATGTCTGACATCTGAAAAAGGACTGTCTACTTTATCTATTTCTCTCACTATCTTGTATATTGTGATCATGTCATCTCTGATTTGCCTAGTGCCGTTAGATGGAGAGTTCAATCTGTCCTCATAACTATCCTATCTCTGGTATGAGTTTCATACAAAATATCTAGATCTTTATTTTCATCTTGTGTTTCCCAAGGTTTGGATCATTGGTTGATGGTATATTTCAGGATTGGTATGAAACATACTGTATAATGAAACTGTGTATAATGTTCAGTATGATTCTCTGCTTACCTTTCTAAATGTTGCTCTTACATTTGCCAATCTTGCATGGGTTACTAACACTTATAGCCTGCATTGTGCAGGCTATAAGTGTTAGTATCACAAGATTGCAAAGTGATACAGTATGTTATCAGTTTGAATTTACAGTACCTCCTAAATTGACCCAAGTGTCACCATCTGTAGTGGCCTTGGCAGGAACAAGAAGCCAGTGGCTTGTTAAAAGGTTCCCCATTATTCTGAGGAGATTTTCCAGTTGTATTTAAAAATGAAGACTTTGTATTTACTGCTTCAATGGGTAGAAAATTTATAGGTTTATTGCCCTATGGGGTAAATAAAGAATCTCTTGTTCACCTAGCCAACACTGTCGCTTGTTGACATTGAAACCATTGAAATCACTGATTTACAATGGACCTTTTAAAAAGAATATTCTGAATTAATGTTTAATTTGATTATCATTTTTAATTTGTTTAAGATTTTAAAGGTCTATGGAGATGAAAAATAGTGTGTATGGTTTGCAGTGTAAGCTTATGAATTCTGGGGTGATTTTTATTACCGTCTTGAACAGGATCTTCAGCAGAACTACAAAGAACTTAACTTTAGATTTTTTTCAGCAAACAATCTAGTCTAAAAGTGTTCTAGCATTCTAAAAATCTTGGAATAATGCTCAAATTTATGTCGTCACAAGAGCAAGCCGAGTATGAAACATGGATGACCATCTGACCACACAATAAGATTTTGCATAAATTTCACCTATTATCACACTGATTATATAAGACTCAAGCTCTCATAAACCATGCTTGCAATATGCCATACTGTACCGCAAATGCCATACTGTACCGCAAATAAGACATACTCAAAGTGCTATGCCTGGTTACCTTGATACCTTGATGTTACCTTGAGGTGCTTCCGGGACTTAGCATCCCCGCGGCCCGGTCGTCGACCAGGCCTCCTGGTTGCTGGACTGATCAGTAGCTCTACAAGACTATAATCTTTATTCACCAAAAATGATCCGTACACAAGCCATTATTTGTACTTTATATACACAAGAAATAAAAGAGGACAATAATATTATCATAGTCATCTGATAAAATGCACTTCACACAATATGCTCACCTATGACCATCCAAACAATGAAGCGGACCCAAGTCATGGGGTTGAGGTGGACCATGAGGGCGATGTTGAAGAAGATGGAGGTGAGAGGAAGAAGAGGAACGAGAGGCACGCTGAAGCTCAGTGCTATCTGGTTCTGACGATGGGCTACAATCATAATCACACCTGCCAAACATCTCTAGGATTAAACTCTCAATATTATTATGCATAATAGTCTCACAGGTTTAACACTGTGTGGAAATCTGCATGTACAAGTGAAAATGAGTGTAAGGTCACTAATTCTCAAATGAAAAACAACAATTTTACATAGAGTATTGAATTACAGTACCAGTATATTAAAATCTGCATGTATTTATGAACCAATGCTTGAAACCTGCTGCAGCAAGTTAAAAATTTATTACAAATTTTAATAGGATCTTTTTTTTTCCATGATGGCTTTAAATCAAGCAGGCTCAGCAAGCAACCCATCCTCTTGAATAATACAAATAATACTGTACATTGCATTTTGACACCAAAATCTCAAGACAATGTGTACTGTAAATCATAGTGGCTCAAAAAAAAAAAAATTCTATGCATGGTTGGTTTCTATCCATTGGTTAGGTTAGGTCTGAAACATTTACTACATCATGTTTGTGATGTGACAACTTGAGAGGAGGGGTTGCTGCAAGAGCTGGTGACGCATCCCAGTATGAACTCGCTGCTTTAATTTCACCATACTGTACTTAATTTGGTGTATAAAATATACACCTTATAAAGTAAACACATACACCATAAGGTAATTTGAGAAACTGAATACAAAAGCTGCTCAACTTACTGAAGGCAAGTAAAAAAACCAGTATAACTGTAATTATAATAGCCCACACTGAAGGGTATGGCAGAGAAAGGAAGTTGCCACCAAACTGCAGTAGACAACAGAGGGCAGAGCTGCACGTGGTGAAGATGACGACGGCCCAAGTTACCACCAGTCCTGCCTCCCGCTTCCCCACCAGGTGCAGCAACCATCGGCACGATGACCTCAGCTGGCCGCCTTCATCACCCTATACAAGGTCAGTTTTGTAAATGTTATCCAACTGTAACAAATCAACTTTCTTTATGCTTTAAATTTAGGCAAGTTGCTTATATCAATAATTAAAACGAAGCAAACTACAATTATTAGACTCCTAAGTTTGTGTGTAAAATAATGAAACATACAATGTCTAGTATTTGTTCACTATATTTTACAAAGAATAATTTTATAATTTAATACTTCAAAATTCTACTTTATATGATTCTACGGTAAATAAATAATGGCTCACGATGAACATCTTTAAAATGGGCACCATTTCAATTCGGGCTTTTCTGGAGGAGCCTCTTGATGGCTCCCTGAAGCAATCTCATTGGGTAGCTGCTCACTACCAAGTCAAAACAGCCATAGGAGTTCTGTATGGTCCTACTGGGGACCAGAGGCAGGACCTGGCCCCCTCTGCTGCCCCCCCCCTCATAGCAGCAGAGGAAGCAGGGCATTACTATAATCGTCCTCACTGAGAAAACATGCAGAGTAAAGCAAAGCAATACAAATAACCTCTACGTTTGCAGAAAACAAAGCATTGAAACAGTCAAATAAGTGTGCAAATGATTCACTTGAAATGACCAACAGGCGACAACCCTCGCCAGTTGGTGGCAGCTCGCTGGCAAGGGGTCTCCGGCAGCTCGCTGGCAAGGGGTCTCCGGCAGCTCGCCGGCAAGGGGTCTCCGGCAGCTCGCCGGCAAGGGGTCTCCGGCAGCTCGCCGGCAAGGGGTCTCCGGCAGCTCGCCGGCAAGGGGTCTCCGGCAGCTCCCCGGCAAGGGGTCTCCGGCAGCTCCCCGGCAAGGGGTCTCCGGCAGCTCGCCGGCAAGGGGTCTCCGGCAGCTCGCCGGCAAGGGGTCTCCGGCAACACGCTGGCAGGCTTCCACACAGGCTTCAAGCCTTAATAGGTGGTCATTAATTCCATCTCATAACTCGACTTGGCCATGCCAGGATACATCGGTTCAATCACCATTACTTCACTAAGTATCAGACAAATCACAGTCTACACTAACTTAGCCACTTGTTCCCACTGGAACATCTTGAGTTCAGGACTGCCCTGGATGAACTAATTCCAGTCAATCAAGGTACAGTACCACCCACATCACTTTTGAGGAATAAAGGATGAATAGTACGATGGAAACTATACAGGTGTTAGCAAGATCACAGCCATCCACCGGGGAACAGGGAATGGGGTCGGGTGTGTTCAAGAGCTGGCGTCGACAACGTCACACGGTGGCTTTGCGGATTTCGCCCCCCACCCCCCATCCCCACGTTCATTTCGCTGTTTGATAATCAAATGGATGCTCCAGAGTTAGCCCCTTTAGTGTTTAGGGACTGCCCCTCCACCCCTTGCTGGTGTGGTTCACCTAGCATCTGGTCTCCTCCCACCACCCCACAATTTGGGCTGCAAAGTAGATTTTGAGAGTCCGGTTAAGGTTCAGCTTTGGATGTAGCTTGGCCACCTCCAGGGACTGTCTCATCCACTTGAATGACAGACAATTTAACTGTCCCATCACACTGAGGATTCAGAGCCTACTCCACAGTGAAAGTTTGTCTCAGCAAGACCGGAGGGGAGCCCGAGGAGAAACCCTGGGTGCCTTTCAGCCCTTAGGACCTTGACTGCATCCACAGAAGGTGTTTTGTTCCAGGAAAGACTTCTCTTATCCCCCCTTCTATGAATGTGCTAGATTACCTCCCTGCTCCCCCACCTTCTTGGGTGTGCTTCTGTGTACCATTCGGTTCTGCTGAAACATCTTTCCAGAGGTTTCTCATCCTGCCTTTCACATTCTACAGCACAGATTTTTTTGGTTCCTCCTGCTAAAATGGGACCTTGCTTCCCTTACTGACCCAGCCACCTTTGAGTCTAAGTTGGTGCGAACTGCTTGTTTGCTTGGGTTTTCCCCAAGGATCTATGTATGTGGCAGAGGATCATAGGATTTGTGCTCATTTGGCAACCGTTTTGCACATCTGGACTTGTCAAGATGTTTTCTGATCAGCTCCACAGCAGGCTGAATGGTTTGGCATTTGTTCCTGGTTTAACTGCCTTTTTGCCTGCTGTTCCGGTGGTGCTGCCCAAATTGCTCGCCCCTCCTTCCCCCCCCCCCCTTATTGTAAGAAGGTGGCAGCCTTTTACTTGGCCCATCTTGTGTCGGCTGGCCATGCTAACCTTGGCCCCTTCTGTCTGCTTTGCCCTTTTTTTCTACTTTCCTGTTTCCTGAAAAGGCTGTTTCTATAGTCATTTTGGTAATTGTTGCTGTTGTAACAGTAAGTCATCTAACAGGGTCTTGGTGGATAGGTATCTGGTTAATGTTCCTCGTCCCATTTGGGCTTTTATGGCCTGCGGTGGTTTTCCCAGCCTTGTGTTTCTTCTTTGGCTTTGTAGCTCCTCTCTCTCCTCCACACTGATTAGTCACATTTTTCTTTCTTCTCTACTGTTAGTTACTTCCAGGGAACCACCAAGGGGGGTCCCCAGGAAACTATTTAAGGAATCAGACGCTAAAATTAGTTTGATATATGTAAATCTCGTCTGCTGCCCATGTGGAGTCAGATGTAACGTAAGATCAATGTATTAAAGTATTTCTGTTGTACATGGTGGGGAAGGGTTAGGGTTAGTAAATTATAGGAAGGTAAGATTTCAGCTGGAGTTTCCATCACCCCTCTTGCTTAGGGTTAGGTGATCCGCTTAGACCACAGTCCTTAATTTTCTTATTTTGTTGGAAACTGCTTCCCTGGGGGCCAAGCCTATCCTAACCCCTCTAGGTGCAGCACCCTTACCTTGATTTTTCCCTAACTCAGCCCCCACCATATAACACCACCACACGTTGGCAGCTCTTCATACCAGTTTCTAGTGAACTGTCATTGAGAGTACCATGGTAATTCTTTTTCAGTGTGTGTTGGCTGTTTCAGTGCTCCCTTTTTATGAACCATAAAGTTGTCTGTATTATCTTGTCTACTTTCTGGTAGCTTTCCCAGTAGGGATGATAAATAAAATCCCTTGCTCTCTGTATCTTCGAGGGAATTAAGGTTCAGGGGCCAGATTCACGAAGCAGTTACACAAGCACTTACAAATGTGTACTTCTTTCCTCAATCTTTGATAACTTTGGTTATATTTATTAAACAGTTTACAAGCATGAAAACTTCCCAATCAACTGTTATTGTTATAAACAGTCTTCTGGTGCTTTGGAGCTCATTAACTGATTAATAATTGTAAACCAAGCCACCAAAGATTGAGAAAAGATGTACAGTTTCGTAAGTGCTTGCATACTGCTTCGTGAATCTGGCCCCTGGTTTCTGGTAGGCCAACATAACATCTGACTGATACAGGCATACCTCAGTTTAAGAGTTTAATTGGTTCCTGGAGACGCCTCATATTCCGAAAACTCGCATTCCGAAGCTAATTTCCCCATAAGAAATAAAGGGAAATGAATTAATCCGTTCCTGACTACCCCAAAAACCCCACATCAAACTAAATTTTTATACCTAATTCATCTAAATAAACCTACTAAACTATGTTCAAGTTATTACTTACCTTGCTGTTGAATGCTGTAGGCGTATGGAAGATGGTGAGGAGGTGGGAGGAAGAGAGGAGTTACTGTTTGGAAGGGGAGTCCCCTTCCATTATCACATCAGGCAGTGAGGACTTCACTGGTATGCAACCTCTGGCACATTTTGCCTGCATACCACTAGGACTTGCTTGTTTTACTAAGAATTTGTCTAATGACACTTGTTTTTCCCTACATTTTAACACTTGTCTGTAGTAAGACATCACATTATCATTTAAAAGGTCAATGCAACGGCCTGCTACAGCTTTATCTGGGTGAGTTTTTTCAACAAAACTTTGCAGTTCTTCCCATACTTCACACATTTTCTTAATCAAGAGGGGACATCCTCTACTGCCTCTACTCACAGCTATTTTCTTAGGTTGAACCTTACCAATGGCTTTCTTGAGACCCATGGCAAGATATATAATGACAATTTTTATGCTCAAATGGCCAAAAAAACGATAAAAAACTGTAAATCCTTGTGAAGAATTCAGGTGGGATAGTCACTGGACACGAGACACTGGTAAACTGAGGCGCGATCGCCATGCCACCACGCGCCAGTCGGCCTGTACACGTATCAACAAACTTGCGTCCCGAGGTAACCCTCGCCTTCCGAGACATATTTTTGGAGTAAATCCTGCTCGTCTTCCGAAAAACTCGCATACAGGGACACTCGCATTCCGAGGTACCACTGTATGACTTAGTAATGAGAAGTTATCTTGGTGACAGCTTCAGGGAGCCAGGGCCAGTAGAGATGGTGGTCCTCAGGTAAATTCAGGTAAAAACTATAAATCTAAAATTCTGAAGCAACACACATGCACAAATATGCTTCAATTCATACCAGTCTTTAGGAGAACTCACTTTGCCCGATTCAGCTATAGGAGTGGTTGGAGTGGGCAGAGCTCCTGGTGTTGGCGTGGTGATTTGAGTGTGGGAAGGACTTTTTATATTACACCTGTAAGAAATTACTTACACATTACTTACAAATTTACAACCAGTGTTTTATAAAAGCTGATATGGCAATTAAAAGTCTTTTAATGTCATAATAATTGTGGTAACAAGAAATGAGATGTTTGTTGAAGATTTTGTGACAATAATTAACATACCGAGTAAATGCAAAACCTCAGAAAATATCCAAATTGAAAGTACAGTATTTAAAAGACGATCTACATTATATAAAAAAATTGGCTAAGGAACTGTGTGCCACTGTAAAGGTCAGACAAGTAGGCATCTCTTCCCTCTCTTTCCTCCCTTACTTCCTTTTCCCTCTCCTCCCTTCCTCCTTCCTTCCTTCCTTACTTCCTTTCCCTCTCCTCCCTTCTTATCCTCCTATCTTCTTCTCCCATTCCCCCTTCCCTTCATCCTCCATTTTCCCCTCTATTTATCCCTATGCTGGACGGTCGAGGGTGGAGTTTACTGCCATGTCAAATTACAGAAAGGCCAGGTACATCTCCCCCTACGTAAACCAGAGAGTACCATCCAGGTCTTGTGGGAAGACTTCGCCCCTGGTTCAAATTAAGTATAGGCCTAGGAGAGAGGTGGAACCAGGACTCCACCTTGAGACATCCTCCAGTATGGATTACCTGGAGGGAGGTTGATAACGTAGGATGATAACAGAGGCGCTGACGATCGTGTAAGCCATCAGGGTACCGATGCTCATGAATTCCACTAGCTTCTCAATGTCAAACAGCAAGGCGATAAGAGCAGAAAAAAACCCACATAGCAATAGTGTGATTATGGGCACCTGCAACAATGAACATGGCATTATATTTTCATCTCGAAGTTAGTAAAATCCTGTTTTTTTTTGGTTTGTTTTTTAATTAAATGTAACTCGTCTGGGTTCAGTTTATATCATATTGACCAACACCAATACATCCTGACTTGCTGATTTATATACTGTACTCCAAAACTATAAAAAAATTATTCTTTAAATTCAATAATTAAAAAAAATCTAGAGCCAAATGTTAAAACAATGATTTATGATCTTAGCATTAGTAAGCATTTACAGTAAACTATAATAATCATACCATCAGAAACTTCAAAACATGTGACAAAGTACTGGGAAGACTGAACACCTTGAGCATAGCTTTCACCTTGTAATTATACAAACCAGCTTACACTGTTTGCATATTATTTTTATTATTATTATTTAGCTTTTGATGTTACAGCCACAACATAGAAATTACTGTCTAGTTCTTGAGCCAGTGTTTTCATCATATTAAAAAGACTATACAGTACTTCTGTGATTCATTGAAACCAAGATCAATGTTCAGGACTAATTTTGGTTCATGATGCAAGTACTGTAGTACCAAAAAATACTATGTACCCACATGTACACAATATGTAATTTTACATAACTACTTACTCTGTAATATATTTAATATCTTACCTTTGTTTTATCAGACACACGAGCCAGCCAGGAGAACAGAAGACCATCAACGGCCATTGCGTACACACAGCGTGGAAGACTGAAGAGTGAGCCAAACAGTGTAGTAGTCATACCACAAATGGCACCCACACTCACCACATACTTGGCCCAGGTTGCACCATGAGAGGCAAAGGCATCAGGGAGAGCAGCAGCAGGGTTGAGGGAATAATAAGGCACCATGAGGGTGAGTGTAGCACCAACCATGATATAGCCCACTGTCACCACACTCATAGATACCAGTGTGGCTTTGGGAATGGAGCGGGCTGGATCCTTTGTCTCTTCACCTGCAGTAGCTATACTGTCAAAGCCAACAAAGGCATAAAAACAAGTAGCAGCTCCAGAAATTACTCCCGAGATTCCAAACGGCATGAAACCACCCTCCAAGTTCCAATTTGCAATGTCTGCATATGACATACCTACAGCAATGACAAATGTTATTACACAAAGATTAATGAGTGTGAAGACTGAATTGAAGTAAGCTGAGCCCTTGACACCCATGGTGAGAAAGCCACAGTAGACAAGTGTCACAGCAAAGGCTAGAAAGTCTGGGTAAGACGCGAGGAAGCCACTATGCATCTCGCCTATATTAGCTATTGTTGCATTGCTTACAGCACCATCAAAGAGGGAATCCAAGTAGCCTGACCATGCTCGAGCCACTGATGCCGCACCTGTAAAATTATAATTACAACTATATCTACACATACAACAAATATTACAGAATATATTTCTCACTTTTATTTAATACAGTACAGTATACACACACTTCAATACCCTGCACATCTATATTGGCTTTGTTTGTTGCTTAACTTAATCACTTTATTAAGACTCTTGTACCTATTCTGGGGAGGGGGGGGGGGCAGAAAGGTTGCAGTCACAGACGATTCAGGAACTGAACCCTAAAATAAGCCCAAAATTGTACCCTAAAACAGAATAAGTGACCCAAGTCCAAGTGATTAGAAAAACATTTCCAAACCATGTAATGTTTGCCCAGGTGCTCTAACCTTTTAAACAATCCACTGGACTGTAAATGTTATCAGGATTTTGCAGCAAAATCAATACTGTAACCTGTACTGTACAGTCGTACTAAAATTCAGCAATTGTGCTTCCTTCTAAACCTCACACTTACACTGCACATCTAATTGTGATTTTGTTTATACAATTAAGAGTATGCTGTGTAATTTTGAATTTTGTAAATTGTAGTGAACAAGATACACATATTGTGCATGTGTGTAAATCATGAAAATTAACATGTGATGAAAAATGTGACAGTGTCAGACCACTAAGGAAGGACTGAAACAGGAATACCCAAGGCTTCATCTTTCTGAAGATGTATTATTAAATACGAAAGTATTTAATTAAGGAAATTCACTGAGCATATATTTAAGTTTATTAAAGTTGATTTATAAGGCCTTTGATACTACTACAATAACTACTTGTTTTCTCTTACATTCCGTTTCTTACTCCTATTATTACCCCACTTTATTACACCTTACCTTCCATACCTTTAGCCTTGCTCATATCTTCCTCTAAGATTTCCATCTCTTGTACAGTTGTACAGTTGAATACACACTTTCTAACGGTAGGTAGTAACCGAGTGATTGTAACCTATCCACTGCTGCCCACTGGATTGGGGGCAGTGTGCAGGAAAAACATATAAATTGTGACACCAAGCCACTAACATGTGGAGAGCTAATTTAGAAACTGTACTTTTGGTCGGTCTTGAGCCCACTGTTGATGTGATGATGTACATTGAATTTTGGAATTAGCTCATCAAGATTGTAACTTGCTTAGCTAAATGAATTGTGGGGCCCCCAAGCCCATTATGTGTCTCTGTAAACCTTTCCACTACCACCCAGAGGATGGGTATGGTGTGCATAATTAATAAATGAAAAGAAAGTTAGTTTAGTTTAAGTCGAAAGTTTGTTTCGCTATTTCTAGGGTTTGGTTGGTGTTTCTTATGGTAGCTCTCACTTTTTTGTGTAAATTTTTAATGACTGATGGGTTCTAACTACTAGGTCCTTTTCTTCTTCAATCTGTCGCATGGTTTTTAGTTTAGTTCATTTATTATGCAACCCATACCCATCTTGTGGGCAGTAGTGGAAAGGGTTACAGAGGCACATAATGGGCTCAGGGACTGAACCTGCGCATGGTAGTGATGTTATGATAGTTGTGATGTGCATCGTGCACTGTTATGCCTCTACACGCAAGGTCTTGCTTTTTAAGTCTTCCAACCATTTGTCGAGTTCATGTGTATGTACAAGGCCTCGTGTCATTTTCACCTACTTTTCCAGAGATCTTGGTGTCATTTGCAGTGTTTTATAATGTGAATTATAATACTGTACGGTATTCTCATCTATATCACTGATTGATATGACCAAAAGGATTGGTCCTAATAATATTCACTCGTCTATCAAAATCTCATGGTATTGCACTGTTTTTTTAAACTACTGAACATTTTTTATTAGTAGTCTATGGCCTTCATCACTAAGTATCACAATATTTTAAGTCATTTCATAAATGTAGCAATTCAAATATATTAGCCGCCTTAATGTTTTACATGAAGTGTTACCCCATTGAACAGGTAATTACCTAATTATAAGTTATGCCTAAAATGCTGTGTGTATTTGTGACTATATAATTTATATTGGTGTATACTGGCAGCAGGTTTTCTTTTAAACATGTCTCGTTGAATATGACCGCATATTCTGTATTTACTATCTTCTGATTTAGAGCTTCTATCCCTCTAACTATTTATAAATAGTTAGAGGGATAGAAGCCCTATATCAGAAGATAGTAAATACAGAATATGTGGTCATATTCAATGAGACACAATTTATAGTGTACCTATAAATACTCCACTGTGTCAGGCTTTCAAATAGATGTACTTTATATACTGTAAATAAAAATTATTATTATTAACAGATCAAGCCACAGCATCACAAATACTGTATGTGTATATATATATATATATATATATATATATATATATATATATATATATATATATATATAAGGGATACAACCTACCAATCATGTGCTCCAGGACAATATTCCATCCAATGACAAATGCCCAGAACTCTCCAATGGTGACGTAGGTGTACACATACGCAGACCCTGCCTTGGGTACTCTGGCCCCAAACTCTGCATAGCAGAGAGCAGACAGAAAGGAAGCAAACCCTGCCAGAAGGAACGAGAGGATAATGGCTGGGCCAGCGGTGTCCTTAGCCACTGTCCCAGTCAGAACATATATTCCTGCCCCCACCATGTGCCCAATTCCTGAGGAGAAAAAACTATTTGTTAGTGACAAACCCTCATGTCATTTAACTATTAAGCTGTTCATGAATAATACATAAATCATTCAAGTTTACTAAATTCTAATAACTATATGGAAGAAAGTGTAAATTTTATAATGTCAAAACTTGCAAGAATACCTGTTGGCGTGAAAGTTTATTATGAACAAACCTAAGAGTGTAATGTCGAGGGTGGACAGGCACCTATTGAGAGGTGTCTCCATGGCATCGGTAGACACCTTTTTAGTCCTGGACATGCGGTCCCAAGTGCCGCTCCATCCCTCCACCAGCAGTCTCTGCCTTAGCCCCGTCATCGTCTCTCCGTCGCCCCCACCTGCCTTGCTACTTCCACCTGTACCAGGAAGAAGTAAGAACGTAAGAAAACAGTTTGGGAAGGGGACCCCAAGGGACCCATTTGGGGAGGGGGACCCAAAAGGAACCAATTTATTTATTTAAAATTTTTTATTTATATATACATACAAAAAGGCACATTGGGTTTATGAGAGTACTGTACATAGCATTGATTTTTTACAGTCTTGTAAATCCTCAAAGCTTGTAAAGCCCCTAACATGCATAGCATTTTGAGCAGGTCCCTTACTCAAACATAATTTGAAGTAGGTAATTTCTAGCAATATTGAAAAATGTTAGCAGGTACATTCAAGAAAATTTGAAGATTAGTAGGTACATTATAGCAAAATTTGAGGATTATCAACAGGTAGATTGTAGCATAATTTAAGGATTATTTGGGGAGGGGCCCCCCTTCCCCAGGGGTACCAATTCGGGAAGAGGGAGCCCCCAAGGGGAATCAATTCAGGGAGGGGGGGGGGCAGGAAAACCAATTCAGGGAGGGGGGGGGGCAGGAAAACCAATTCAGGGAGGGGGGGGGCAGGAAAACCAATTCGGGGAGGAGGGCCCCAAGGAAACCATCCCAAAAACAACCACCACCTCAACAACAGCAACAACCACCACCACAGCAACAACAACAACCACCACCTCAGCAAAAATAACAACCACCACCTCAGGAACAACAACAACCACCACCACAGCAACAACAACAACCACCACCTCAGGAACAACAACAACCACCACCTCAACAACAGCAACAACCACCACCACCTCAGCAACAACCACCACCACAGCAACAACAAAAACAACCCCCTCAACAACAACAAAAACAACCACCTCAACAACAACAACAAAAACAACCACCTCAACAACAACAACAAAAACAACCACCTCAACAACAACAACAAAAACAACCACCTCAACAACAACAACAAAAACAACCACCTCAACAACAACAACAAAAACAACCACCTCAACAACAACAACAACAACAACAACCACCTCAACAACAAAAACAAAAACAACCTCAACAACAACAAAAACAACCTCAACAACAACAACCACCACCAACTCAACAACAACAACCACCACCTCAACAACAACAACAACAACCTCAACAACAACAACCACCACCTCAACAACAACAACAACAACCACCTCAACAACAACAACAACAACAACCTCAACAACAACAACCACCTCAACAACAACAACCACCTCAACAACAACAACAACCTCAACAACAACAACCACCTCAACAACAACAACAACAACCACCTCAACAACAACAACAACAACAACCTCAACAACAACAACAACAACAACAACCTCAACAACAACAACCTCCTCAACAACAACAACCTCAACAACAACAACCACCACCTCAGCAACAACCACCACCTCAGGAACAACCACCACCTCAGGAACAACCACCACCTCAGCAACAACCACCACCTCAGCAACAACCACCACCTCAGCAACAACCACCACCTCAGGAACAACCACCACCTCAGCAACAACCACCACCTCAGCAACAACCACCACCTCAGCAACAACCACCACCTCAGCAACAACCACCACCTCAGCAACAACCACCACCTCAGCAACAACCACCACCTCAGGAACAACCACCACCTCAGCAACAACCACCACCTCAGCAACAACCACCACCTCAGGAACAACCACCACCTCAGGAACAACCACCACCTCAGGAACAACCACCACCTCAGCAACAACCACCACCTCAGGAACAACCACCACCTCAGCAACAACCACCACCTCAGCAACAACCACCACCTCAGCAACAACCACCACCTCAGGAACAACCACCACCTCAGCAACAACCACCACCTCAGGAACAACCACCACCACCTCAACAACAACAACAACCTCAACAACAACAACAACAACAACCTCAACAACAACAACCTCAACAACAACAACCACCTCAACAACAACAACAACAACTTCAACAACAACAACCACCACCTCAACAACAACAACCACCACCTCAACAACAACAACAACAACAACCACAGCAACAACAACAACCACCACCTCAGGAACAACAACAACAAAAACAACAACAACCACCACCTCAACAACAAAAACAACCACCACCTCAACAACAAAAACAACCACCACCTCAACAACAACAACCTCCTTAACAACAACAACAACAACCACCTCAACAACAACCTCAACAACAACAACAACAACAACCTCAACAACATCAACAACCACCAACAACCACCACAACCATCTCAACAACAACAACCACCACCACCATCAACCTCCACCGCCCCACCGAGACCTTCTACTCTCTCAACCTCCACCACCACCTTCCCCCCTCAACCTCCCCCCTCAACTTCCTGAACCTTCAACAACCTCAACCTCCTTTCACTTTGCTTCTCTTATTTTAGGTGATCGGAAATATTGCATTAGAATCTTCTATCTTGAGATGATTTCGGGGCTTAGTGTCCCCGCGGCCCGGTCCTCGACCAGGCCGCCTTTTTGTTACACCCCCCCCAGGAAGCAGCCCGTAGCAGCTGCCTAACTCCCAGGTACCTATTTACTGCTAGGTAACAGGGGCATCAGGGTGAAAGAAACATTTTTGCCCATTTGTCTCCGCCTCCACCGGGAGTCGAACCCGGAACCTCAGGACAACGAATGCGAAGCGCTGTCCACCCAACTGTCAGGCGCTGGAATTATTACACACACAAATCACAATTGCGTGATGCATCAAATGAACAAATCCACAAGGGCGTGACGAGGATTCGAACCTGCGTCCGAGAGCATCCCAGACGTTGCCTTAATCGACTAAGCTACGACATGGTCAAAAGGAGTTGAAACCGAAGTTCTACTGAACTTACCGGATCCTGCAGCCTCTCCGAGGCACAAACCAGGGTTTTACACAACTCCCCCCATGCACTCGAGTTATGTCAATACGCAGTTCTCCCTCTTCGCCCTTACTTCATTACACACAGAAATCACAATTGCGTGATACATCAAATAACATAAGAACAAAGGCAACTGCAGAAGGCCTATTGGCCCATACGAGGCAGCTCCTATTTATAACCACCCAATCCCACTCATATACTTGTCCAACCCACGCTTGAAACAATCGAGGGACCCCACCTCCAGCACGTTACGCGGTAATTGGTTCCACAAATCAACAACCCTGTTACTGAAGATGAACACAAATCCACGAGGGCGAAGAGGGAGAACGGCCTATTGACATAGCTCGAGTGCAGGGGGGAGTTGTGTAAAACCCTAGTTTGTGCCTCGGAGAGGCTGCAGGATCCAACAAGTTCAGTAGAACTTCGGTTTCAACTCCTTTTGACCATGTCGTAGCTCAGTGGATTAAGGCAGCGTCTGGGATGCTCTCGGACGCAGGTTCGAATCCTCGTCACGGCCCTTGTGGATTTGTTCGCCGGAATTATCTTACCAGATAATTCAGCCTAACACTTGAGGGTTCACGTCCCAAGGCGTTTCTACGAGTTGGTTCGTCTTCCCAGATTGAGTGTCAAAAAGCACTTTATATTGTTGCTGAGGAAAGGCTGGTGTACAAGAGAAGCTGCGATAACTGGGGAAACTCTGTAAAAGAACAACTCGCGGAAGCCACCTCCATCCATAACGTCCATGCCAGATACGACAAAATGTGAACATCTGCTAAAAAAAGAAACTTGTACAACAAGGCTCGAACATAAGAACTAGCTAAACTTCACTTTCCCACAGTCACTACTAGGAATGCAAGACACGCATCCTTGCATGATCAAGACTAACAGCTGTGCATAATGCAGACGCTACAAGCATGCTTGGGCTTAACCACACGCTCGAGCTACCCATAGATTTATATTTGTTATAGGATAGGCTCTCACTATGACCACACTTAACGTTGGGGCCCTAAGCCACCAAACCTTTAATAATTAACGGTAATATGTCTGTTTCTATATTAAGTATGTAGATAGTCCTTTAAGTATCCTGGCAGCTCCTGCGACGGTGCTGGAACCATGTGTATTGGCATTTGCCTTTCTATTGGATAATTTCAGCAACGTGGAGAGGGGGGGAAAGACCTGCTGCATGGGTAACAGCTTCTCCTCCATATCTACCTACCCAGGCTTTGTGCCCTGGAGGATTGACAACCAGGGCGCAACTCCATATAGTCTCCCGAGACTAAAGGATGCCTACTACTAGTCATTTAATAATTAACGATAATATGTCTGTTTCTATATTAAGTGTGTGTGGATGGTAACTGCAAAAATAGGCCAATGAAAACAATACCAAAACTTGTAATAAAACTTGACGTCAATTGTTGTTTACTGAAACACTCTCCCTTTCTCGAGAGCAGGAAGCCAGGCTCACACTGCTGTTGGTTTACACACCGAACAAAACTTTTATATTTTTGGCTATGAAGCTGTTTCGCAGACAAGAGCCAAGAAATTGTCCGAGTAATGATGGACGCCACTTGGGCAGAAGCATATTACGGAGACTACGTCTATACTACGTCTACGTCTACTACGTCTGTCGTAGGCATCTACTGACTTTCCACAGGCTTCACCCCACAACACGTGCCAAACTTCCCGCCTATTTAACGCCTAAGTGGCACACAATCATTGCCTGTGCTACCTCGATCAAGTGGAAGGAAACACGTTATGTCATTTCCGGGATTGAACCTCCTCCCTCGATTGTCAGCCGACGACGAAGCCCACTATGAATTATTATGCTACACGATCCATAAATTATCTGCAAAATGAGAAAACTAGTGCGTGACCAAGGTGGAGCAGACGGAAATATGTCTGGAAGATCTTATCAAGGTTGACACGCTCGAGCCCCTGTCCCCGCCCCACCTCACTTCCCAGTAGCTGCTCACAAAAAATAAATTATTAATATACATTACAAAATAGAGACTTGCTTGTATGCGGCGGTGCGTGTGACCACAACACACGTATTATCAAGCACACAACAGGAAGCACTAGATCATTAAATATCACCTTAACCCCGCTC